GCTGCTGTGGGCTCGGCTGCCTACGTCAACATGAACAACCTTCCAGCTTTCCTACAGGATCCCACTGCACTGTTTGACAAGAAAAAGGTTACTTGCCTGCGCAGTGATTTGCAAGTCATATAATCAATTCATAATAATGCTATAAAAAAAAATCTAAATAGATAATGCTCAGCTGGCTGTCTTAATGTAAACACACTCCTTTTAACTTAACGCAACTCACATTAAGACTGCATTCATTAAAAATGCTTTAATAGACAACATTTAAAACTGTTAGTTATCGTCACTTATAGCCCTACCAACCATTTGTACAAGTATTTTCTCAATGAAACTTCGTTGATTGTACATGCACAGATGCTGTGTATGTGTGTAATCCCCAGCTGAAAATGATTCTATTCTGTTTGAATGAACAAAGGCATGTTACTCAAGTAAAAGTACTTTAAAATTGTCCCCAAGCACAGTATAAGCAAAAATAGAAAACGTTGCACAGTTTCTATTCCACTGTGACTCCATTGCCAAGCCGTCCTTGAACTAGGATAATGTACATTGGTGAATGATGCCACCCGATGGCAGCTTCAGAATCCAGCTCATGTTCGGCTTGAAAAGTCTGTATGAAACGATGTAGTCCTGTGTCTCTGCATCCTATCATGGTATTAAGGACCGCCCTCTGGGATCTCTTTGAATCTCATGTTGTCAAAGTCTGTAATATTTTGTAATATGTATTATTTTAAACAATGACATGGGTAAATTGTTTGGTAGAATCAAGACATGAAATTAAAAATCAAAAATGAGAGCAGGACAAATTGTTTAATTGTATGATTTTTTTTGTTGCATTGTGAATTATTGTTTATTTAACTGAAATTAGGAAAGGTGAGCAGAGAAGCGGAGACACTGACACAAGATGTCCGTTTCAGCACATTTACATCATCATCAATAAGTTCATTAATGGCGTTTTGGATGTAAAGATATAGAAAATTTCTTGGTTTTGAGGTAGCTAGAGAGATCAAATAAATAACCTGCATCGATCAATAATCAATGATGATTGTGGACAAATTTAAAAATGGACCTATCAGTCTTCAAACTAACCGCCTCTCGCCAACCACAAACGGACCCCGGAAGAAGAATCGTCCACGCGTGAATCGTTTGCATTTGGGTTGCCAGGTTTGGGGTTACCTATGAAATTAATGTTATCCGACGGATGACAGAGATTTTACATTTGAGGATGTATTTATTTCATCTTTTTTTAAAATTCAGCTGCGTTTGTGTGGCTGCACACTTCAACACCTCAGTTACCAAACTGTAACCTGTGAATGTAACCGCTTTATAGACCTATAAATGTACACTATAGGTACCACTCGTACAATAATAGCTATTATAGACAACAATTGGCTTCATTTAGGACACCCTCGTTTAAATGAATCCAATCACTCTCCTCAACCCAAACGCTACTATAAACAGTTGCAATTATTACTCCAGCCAACATAACAGTATTTATTAACAAATTAATATAACATTTCGATGTAAAATGTGTGCAGAAGTGTATTCACACAGTGATTGTGACTTTATGAACAGTTTTATTACTGTGTGTTTTAATTGCCTCTTATTCTCTACTATTTAATATAGCTGCATATGCTTACTACATTTTATTATAATGTTTAGCCACCAACCTTAACAGAATGTATATTAACAAGAAATGGTTTTCTTTTTTGGGCTTTATAGAGTTAAATACATGCTTATCTATACAGTAGATCTACAAATGATTTAAATCAGAATAAGATTTATTGCCAAGGATTTATTATTCAAGGAATTTGCCATAACATAAATATAAGACAGAATGTTTACAATAAAAATACGGAAAAATATACTATAACCAATGTGTACAATATAACTAATTTGTACAATTAACTTTTTGTTAGAATGAAAGATCTGTATAGTTTTGTGCAGGATGCCATAGTAAGAATGTAGGTTGCGGTCTCTTCTCTGAATGACATATAGGGGGTTTCGGGTTTGCGAGGGGGGGATGAGACGATAAATCTGGCAACAAACGGTCTGCCATCTTTGATTGTGCGACAGGCCGCGGCGCGAGCGGGGCCTCACACACAACTAAGGAAAAAACGGTGTGACACGAGATAACGGGCGTGGATAGACACGGAACCACGAGACCACCGCGCACCGGCTCCCACAGTAACGGCCGAACACACGAGGACAGACCGGCGGCTTGAGACGGCGCCGAAGACACAGAAAAACTAGTCGCCGTGCATGTGCTGGAGCGGTTTGTTGGCAGTAGCTAACGTAAGCTAACCATCGTTAGCAGGCTAGCCAGCTTTTGTAATCCGCCGGCCAGACACACGTTCGTCCACCTCAAACCAGGCCGACATCGGGATTCAAGTCGGGCCGCACATCAGCCGAGAGGACAAAGAAGGCACCGGCGGTGGCAGGTGGGTCTGCATATCGTGCGAGGTTAAAACAAATAAAGTGATGGAAGTTTAGCCCCCACAGTAGTTGATGTTTGTGTTCACACCGCGCTAAGCTAGTGTTAGCATGCTTTTGGCCACTCGAGGAAAAGGGGGGGCTGAAAGTGGATGTGATGGCGACCAGCGAGAAACGAAACAGTGCTAAACGATGCAATGCTCTGCGGCCTGCTCTCGTAACCGCTTCTCATTCTACATTAAAAATATATATATGTTCTTGTGTGTGTGCACATTTAAAGTGTTCTCGGAGACCGGTGTGGTGGAGTTCCGGGCGAAGTGGGCCTCTGCTCCCTGTCGGTATAGTTTGATTCGTGGAGAAGGATGGCCTGCAGACTCCTCAATCAGGGATTTACAGAAACATCACAATAGTGTAAATTAGGCTGGCATAACATTAAGGTTTTTGTTTTCTTCTCGGGTGCTAAATGTGTTTATGTTGAACTGAGATGTATTCCTCATTTTCATGATGTGCAGTCTTGCGTTCAGACTAGCACCGGGCTTTCCTTTTTCAGTTTCGATGTGTTGCAGATTTGGTCTTAAAGGAGCACATTTGCACTGTGTGAGTCTGTACGTTTAGGAGCTGGGCAGGCTTGGGAAGGGCTCTAAATGATTAATAAACTCTATTAGCAGATGTGGAAACCACCTGGTGGCTTACTAATTGGCATATATATATATATATATATATATATATATATATATATATATATATATATATATTATACACACACACACACACGCTTTGTTCAGGATCTGAATAGTTATAGGGAGGATATTTGCATATATTGGCTAGTCAGTGACATGTTCTGATTAATAGATCTAGTATCTTTTGGGGGGGCTTTAGCAATGAGTTAAAGAAAACAACAGATGCTAATCATTGCTGTATTAAGATTCTCTTCTCAATAAACCTGACTTTGACAAGATGGCTATCAAACGTAGTTACACACTGCATCAGTTAGTCCCCTAAAGTGTTCCCATGTGTCAAACTCAAATTGGCATTTCCAGCAACATATGCCTCTTGTCCCTTGAACCCAAGCATTTAAGCATCCAATAGGGAGGAAAAAACACACATAGCCACCTTTCAGTTTGTGGTGTGCTTATTGAAATTACTGACATCTCCCAAGGGAGACCATCTCAGTGGTATCAATTGCCTGCTGTTTGAAAACCACAATAATCTTAAGTGGCTTCCGATCCTCATCTTCTTCCATGCTTTTTGTCAGAAGAAGTTGAGTGCAATGAGCCTGATCAAAGTGAATATGAGTTGGTAGATGTTTAATGTGTGCTGTGCAGTTCAATTAATGGATATAGCAATGCATTTTTTATCTACGTGCCAGTAATCAAGTATCTTTTTATATTTATGTCCACGGCCCACTTATTATACTTATTTAATATGCAAACTGTAGTCTTATTGCTGTAACTTTGGCTAGTATAACTCAACTGCTAGAGCAGCAACAACAATGTTTACAGAAGATTTGTATCAATACTACTACTCTTATCAAACTAAATTTAAATGTATTTGTATTTTAAATGCCACTCAACTGCTAGAGCAGTAACGGTAATGTTTACAGAAGCAAAGTCACTTTACAAACTCGGTAATATTTCACTGGAAACGAATCTTAAAATGCCGATAGATTAAATAATATTCCTGAGTGAAGTTTATGAAGAGCACAGTCTGTCATTCCTCCCGTCTTCCTCGCTCGGCTGACATGATTTACTGCCTGCTGGTACCGGCTGCTTTGTCTCAGCCAGCAGATACGTTTACAAGAACAACCCAAGCTAAGCCGTTAAGACTACACCCAGACAACTTTTGTTTTAATTCTGCTTTTGCCGTTGGCAGATCTTGTGCACTGTGGTTATTTAAACTGGCTGAGAGACTGCAGACAGAGCAGTTTGAAACATCCCCTGAGCTACATGTTTATGCTCGTTGAACAGGTGTATTGATAAAGTATTGCATTGTAGCATTACAATAGAAAATCAAAAGGGACAATGAAATACAAGACTGCTCTTTCAGCAGCCATCATTTAGGCCATCGACATGACTTCTCATTATGTGACTTAACTGTTGCATTAGACGGGTCAGAGCCGTGACCCACTTTAAACAACAGATTTAGGTGCATTAGAACTGTACACACAAGTCATCTGAGCCGACCCGCTGGTTGAGTCTGGAATTAGGCTGGATCCTGCAGTGCAGAAGAGTTGTAATGGGCTATCAGGGCATAAGACTTTATAAGCAGCACTCATTCACAGGCGTGCTACAGAGAAGAGAAGAATAGTTTGATTGTAATGGTATCCTGTATTAATAGTGAACTGCAGTCAATGATCCACGATCTGAACATAATGACCCTTCACTCAGTCCTGACACTCAAACTCAGACGGTCATAGCGTAGCATCCGCCAGCTCGGACCAGGGTCTGAAAACTATCCGGCTCCGCTCCATAGACTGTGATGCAGACGTTTCAGATTTTCTTAAATTTCAGGCTGGATTTTGAGCTGGTCATGCTTCAACGTTTAGCCTGGATTGCGTGTCATAGTGATACTATACGTTTCTAAATGTACATTTCTACATAAAAGCCTGTGGAGCTAACATTAGCAGAGTACGTTAGCACATCATTAACTACCATTGGCCCTTCTGCGCTACGCTAGCTACTGAAGGTATATTGAATGTCACACGTGCTGCTTTAGCTTTCTATAAATTGGAACCGTGAAGAAAGACCTACCTGGCTTTACAGGAACAGTGTTCCTTAATTTCATTGTCTTCTGTCTGGATCTCCAGGTGATGTGCTGGTTCACTTTTAACACTTTAACACTATTTTTATCTTCTTGACCTGTGTACACGGCTGAATCAGTCTGACATCCTGGAGATGTATCCTTCAAACGCATATCGCAGACCCTTCTGTCTACTTCCCTCTGAAATCACTTTTCCCCCAAAAATTTGATAATTTTTATTTATTTTGGCCATGGTCACTTAGCTCTGACAGCTTGATGGAGTAGCAGTGGTGAGCGGAGCTTAGCGAATGATCAATTTGGGGGGTTTTGCATAGAGGATGTAAAGGTCCAGTCTTTACACAATAAGGCATTCTTAAAAACCCAGATGTTTATCAGTCATGTTTAATATAATCTGTGTGTTCTGTGGCGAGTGAGAGTCCCAGACAAACACCCTCAATCACCAAGAGTCTACTACTCTACTACTACTTTGCTAGACTCCCTGCAGTAATGGAGTTTAGAGTACTTAAAAATCAAAGTGTTCCTCCACACCTCCTGTCAAGCATCACTGCTGTGCATGACAATGCTGTACTAGAACCATTGATTTATAATGATGATGAATGCGTCCGTTTCACTCGTCAATTTTTTAATTAATTGTTTGTGATCAGTCTCCTCTGCCAAATACAGAAGCCACACAGCCACTACAGTTTCATCCATTTTAATTTTGTCTTTTTATTTTGTCGCTGTACATGGTGAGGGCACACAAATCCACAAACATGTGTCCAGTGTACTCTGAAGTGGGCAGGTTTGTCATAGCACTTAGGTCGACGGGTACTACTTTGTCCGTGTTTTGGCCGAACAGACCGAGACCGGTGAAAACGCTAAAACATGTCGTCTCCTCTTCAGATTTCAAAGTGCCCGGCTTCAGTGTCTTTTCCGACAGCTGAGAGTGTTTGTGCAGATCTTAAATCCTCGGCTGCATCAAAGTCGCCATTCCTCGTCTCGGCTTTCAGTGATCAGCAACCACTACCAGAACTGGAAAACTGTTGGAGAAGAAACTAAGCTAGAGTGTCTGTATAAGACCTGCACTGTCCCATTGCTTCGTTACTCATTTGAAGGGGTGCACATAAGCTACAACACGGAGCTCTACGTACTGCTAATGGACACTTAGGACGCCTGCTGCAGAGGCACAAAAGCTATTTGATGCGCAAGTTAACACCAGTGTAAAGACGACGATGATGCCCTCACAATACATTTTAGACCATACCTTATTTTAAGTAAGTTTTCCTTATAGCATAATACTACAGAACATAATCAAGTATCAGTTGAACTGGACAAATGAACTACTGAGGAGCTGTATTGGCTAGCATCACTACTCCTATTTAAAGACATTTCTTATGATTTGGGCTCTCATTGGTAGGGCTGCCCCCTCTTAGTCCTCGTTCGTTTGTTAGTTGACTAAGGTTATTTTTCAATTCATTATTTCAAATCTCTGGTAAACACAAGATTTAAAGTGGTGCTTTTGAGTGATTTCTTTGTGGAGAAACCCAGTTTTAGATTAAATCGATTAGTCGACGATATTGTATGAGTGTTGGTCGACTAAGAACTACTTCGGTCAAGGACTGACCTAATCATTGCACTTCACCGTATTTTACAAAATACGAGCCAGGTTGTTTAAAGGGCTTTTCTTTTAAGTGGATGTTCCAAGGCCAAGTTGCAGATAGTCTGAGCTCATCAGAGCTGTCGCCTCCCCCCAACACACACACACACACTGCTCCGTTAATAATAAATGACCCCTGTGTGACTTAGGAAAGACACTGCAGCCCCTGAACATGCTGTATCTCTGTCCATGGTGCTGCTCACTCTCATTCACTTGTGCCACCCCCATACCACAATGCAATTGGAGTTTCGTCATTGGTGGACCAGATCAGATGGCGTTCAGTCTAGACTTGTTAGACTTATGTCATGTGTGCAGGCCTCAAATCTGTAGTTTCACAAAGAAATTTAGGGGTTCTCCGATCCACCAAATCTGTATCGAAACAAATACTGACCGTATTAATTGAATCAGGTAGCGGCCAGACATGGTCGATCCACAGTTCATAAAACTTAATAAAGTTCAGTGTCTCCTGTCAGTTACATTCATGAAGTCACTGCAGGTCGGTGACTCACTGTCCTCGACTTACCTTCAATACAAATAATTCTAATGATTAATGCACTCTGCCCAAACTCCATGTTGCCGAGATAGAGATATGTTGCACAAAAGCATAGTTAGGTTTTTCGTCCTAAACCATTTGTCTCCAGAGGAGCAGATGTACGGCAGCTTTGTACACCAGCACCAGACTCTAAAGAGGTTCAGAGATATTTGTTATTGTTTAGTGTCCTGAGCCAATAACCTCCTCACCCTTCCTGTTCTTGTTTTTCCTCTCACCCCGGGTCTGTAGGAGGCTGGTTCTGGGGGCGAGGCCAGAGGACCAGACTCAATGAGTTTCAAGCGAAATGTCCGAGAAGTCAGGGCAAAGCACCAAGGCAAAGGATGGCAAAACAAAGTATGCAACCCTTAGCCTCTTCAACACCTACAAGGGCAAATCTCTGGAAACCCAGAAAACTGCAGGTAAGCCCCCACTATTGTCCCCTGTTAGTATTGCATGCAATGAATGGAGTGTTGTTGCAGTAAATGTTTGTCTTCATTGAGTTCAGTTGAGCGATGTCATATAATATAATCTTTAAGGATAATAAAGTGCTTTCCCTGGCCCTCTTAAAAACCGCTATATCTTGCTGTTCTCCTGCGTGTGAAGTGGCTGCTAGACATGGGCTCCAAAGTTTGGGCAAAGTTGCTGCCAGCCGGCGCATGCCCCCTCCGGCCAACCTGCCCAGTCTGAAGGCAGAGAACAAGGGAAACGACCCCAACGTCAACATCGTCCCCAAAGACGGTAGTGGCTGGGCATCTCGACCTGAGGGAGCGGAGGAGAGGTAAATTCAACAACTCGTGAACGTTTAGTGCATGAACAGACTGAAACTTTTGTCATAGCTCTTCTCTAAATGAAGGTGTATGTTCAGCACAGAAGAGTAACTGGAAGCGTCTTAAGGCCGCGGCTACACTTGTCTTTTTAATGACACTTTTGTCATCCGATCACGTCAGGATGCATTAACGGTTAAGTTCGTACGCGTCGAGATCGGATGTAGCTCACATTGAAATCTGATCATCCAGACCACATGCAGAGGTGGCCCGGCTCGCATCGAGTTCGGATATCAGTGAGGTGTGGACTAAAGAGGACAATCTATTGTCTTTTCAGTGGATAACATAACTCAAATTTCTCTGAAAATAAATTATTTTTTTTGAAAATTCTGTATTAAATGAGAAGATATATTTCAGTATATTTCATTAGTCAAGTATTTAATTCACACAAGAGTATACAAAACCCTATAAAATGACCTGAATCATGATAAGATTTTTATCCATATGGCCCAGTCCTAGTGTGGACAGCGTGTGGGCACAATCCGGACAATTTATAATCTCATTTTATAATCAACCGTTTCCTGATTTTGCTGTGTGTAACATCCTAAGATGGAAGAGTCTGTAAACCATGTTTCATGAGTGTTGTTAGAAACTATCCTGTTTTGTGGTTTTTTTTTTGCGCCACAGGCAATCGGAAACACCGCCACCCCCGATCAAACCACCAGTGATCCCGCCACCAGAGCCGTCTCTTGCGGCCAGCCGCTCCTGGGCCAACAGCAAGCCGACGCAGCCAGAGGGTAAATGTGCTCTTCACCTGCTCCCTTAAACATGACCCCGACTCATGAAACGCAGATACGCTGTGGTCCTTCTTGGCATTTTATTTTTTGAAGTTGCGAACACTATCCTGTACGTTTCCTTCTTGTGTCCAAACAAACAGAGGAACTATCCACTGTATGTCTACAACACTCAAACATTAGTCTGCATGGACCATCTGGTCTCTACTGAATGTGGTGATGGGTTGGTAAGGGGTGCCCTCCACCAGCTATTCTCAACCACTGGTGGGCCTCGTAGCGCCGTCTAGTGGGCCACGGAGGTACTGCCAAATGGTTATATGAAAATATAATGACAATTTGGGGTAATTTACAAAGAATTCACATGCATAAAGAACATAGTACGTTAAACAAAGCTACAAAATTACGACACATCAGGTCGAGACTAATGTGTTTTTCCACTTGGATAGTTAACGTTTCTGCCGATGCAGTGATACAAAATAAGCCTCCTCCAAAGCCTGTGGGGAGGAAATATGACCCGGAATACATTGATGCTGGATTCATAATGGCAGGCCGTGATGGCTGGGGGTCACCTCTATTATAGTCATTACAGCTGACGACACACATTTGCAGCCCAGTTTAATTTTTCTCCTTTTTTGTCATGTGTTTTTTCTAATTCATTTTTGAAAAGGTGATCCTCGGAAGTTGTTTTTTTGACAATCAAAAGTGGGCTTTAAGGTCAAAGTGCTTGAGAACCTGAGCTGTACACCAACTGAGGATTAGACCTCTCAATGCTTCTCTGTGAGTCACTGTGTTACATTCAATCTTGGGATTTCTGTGCATTCCTAATGATGTGCTCGTATCTTACAGGTGCCCCTCGCGTGAGCAGCCATTTTCAACAGGAGTTTCCCAGCTTGCAGGCGGCTGGTGAGGCGGAGAAAGGGGACGAGCAGGAAGAGGAGCCTTATGGACCAGGCCCCAGCCTCAGACCTCAAAGTAAGGCCACACTCGTGCACGTAAACGTCCACTGGGCTCTGCCTGATGTTCGAGAACCAGAGGTGCTGTAAGTCAAATTATAATTTTCTTCTCCTGTCGTGTTAGATGTTGGCAGTTGGCGTGAGGGTGGAGGCAGGAATTTGATCACCGCACCCAGCACCCCTGAGATGGACAACAAGGCTCCGGAGGAGGGTGCTACGGGCCTTGGTACCTCTACACCACCGGGGGAAGCTGAGGAGCCTGGACGAACCGTAACCACTGACGTTCAGAGGGAGAAGAGGGACGGCAGGGAGAAGTTGCCCCCGTCTGCCCCCCCTCTTCAACCTAAACTTAACGGGGGGCAGCAGCCTCCCGCTGGGGTGCCAACTCACTTTGACCCAGCTTTCAGGAGCATGATGCCACCCTATGTAAGTCTTAGTTTTATGTTCTGGACAGACCACATCACAGTCACAGTCTGTAGTTGTGTTTATCTCGTCTTGAGCCTGCGTGATGATTCCCGTCTTTGTCGTGTAGATGTTCCACGCTTATCCTCAGATGACTTCTGCTCCAGGGCAAGCAAACAGATACCCTGTTCCACAAGACGGAGCGAAGTGAGTTCCCGTCTTCATGGTTGACCTTGTATAGAGTTGAGTAAAAGGCAGTTGTTAGTTTTCCAGACCAGGTGCTATAATGTGCTTTCCTCTCTTTTTTTCCCGTGTTGGATGGTGAGGGGTCCTCGTCCAGTACGGCCCCAGCAGGGCCACCCTCAGTCCCGGCACCAGGACCCAGACAGACCCTCTATCATCAGCGCAACGGAACTTAAAGAGCTGGACAACTTAGACACCGATACTGATGAGGGCTGGGCAGGTTAGTAGCCATAACTTTGAACTTCAGTGTTAAACTACAATCAGTAGGAAAACAATATAAGTATCCATCAACCCTGTCCCTTCTGCTCTCCAGGAGCTCAGATGGAGGTGGACTACACCGAGAAGCTAAACTTCAGCGATGATGAGGAAAACCATGCTTCTAAGGAGAAAAGAGAAAACTGGTAAGTCGTTCTTTTCAACACTTTGATTGTCTTGAATTCATTATTTAGCGTCTGTGGACATTTAGATCATTTAGACATCATTTAATGGAAAGAATTATTCATTCAACGTTCGATATATTTACACAAAAAGCATTGCATGCGTGGTTCGAATTGCACTTTGCATTAAATATCTAAATCCCGATGGTATGACTTGATACGTGGCCGACAGTAATGCAAAATGATTTGAAGTAAATGTACTAAAACTATCCATCCAATCCATAAATTGCAGATGGAATACACTGTATAATGGATGATTTTATGTGCCAAATGGTTATTGCATATCAACCTACGTAAATAGTTGATGCAAAGTAAAAGGATTCAGAAATGATAGAAGTTGTCAAAGCCAATTTTATTTTTAGTGAGAGGTGTGCAACCTGAGGTTAAGAGATGGTGAACCGGGGATATTGTCAGTTGGAATAACCTGTGACATTATTTTCAGGGAGTGGATGGGTAAAGTGGAGCGTATGCGATCCCGGCCCCCAGACGGTCAGGAGGGCTGGAAGGAAGGCACTGAGGACCGTGGGGCCAGTAAAACCCCATGGGCCGATGGTGATCCCAGAGCGCCATCACCTGGCATTATGGGGCAGTACAATAAGTCAGCTGCCCCACAGGACTACCAGGTAAAGCTGGATATGCGATACACAATCCTCTAATCATGTGTGCACTGTTTATTTACCAGCAAGGTGATGAGTCTGTATCTGTGCTCATTTCTCGATCCTCTAGGGCGCCAGTCGTTCTGTCGGTGGCGGAGCCCAACGTGTGACCAAACCACAGGCTGCAGCAGCACCCGGTGCCGACGAGGACCCTGAAGCCTGGCGACAGAAGCGCAAGAAGCCTCAAGAAGTTTCTGAAGCCGTAGAGCGAGCGAGGCGGCGGAGGGACGAAGAGGAACGGCGGATGGAAGAACAGCGGCTCGCCGCTTGCGCTGAAAAACTTAAACGTCTCAATGAAAAACACCGCCCGGCGAATGAGAGCAAATCTCCTCTTCCTCCGACCACCAATGATGAAGAGGAAGCTGTCCAAGAGGAAGAGTCCTCATCAGCTCCCGCTCGTGTATCCAGTCCAGAACCTTCGATCCCAGTTTCACAATCGCAGGTCCCGATCGTGGAAGCTCCTGTAGCCGAGATGGTGGACCAAGACGAGGAGAGGGTGGAGCGAGAACTAGAGAGCGTAGAACCAACTGTAGAGGAGGAGGAGGAGGAGGTGCTCTTGCCTCGTCAGCCCAGCCCCCCCGTCCAGATACCTGTGGCCGTAGCTCCAGAGCCTGTGAGCGAGGAAGAGAGCTCCTCGGTTGAGGTCGTCCCGCTGATGGAGGAGAACCAGGTAGACGGGACAACAGTGCCTATCCGAGACTATTTCAACATAGAGGACAACAGAGGTGAGCTAGCTTGTGTGTACATGATCGTTGTACATTTACGACTGACTGCCATTCTTTCAGTCATTGATGCCCATTGGTTTTGTCGTCCTGCAGTGGATGAGCCCCACCTGTCTCTGCCTCACATGGACACCCCCAGTGGTGAGGAAGTCCCTGTGGCACCACCACAGCTGGAAGGAGAAGCAGCAGCTGCTATGCGTCCCTCTCTTACCTCAGGCTATTCCAAACAGTTTCAGAAGTCTTTACCGCCTCGTTTCCTCCGACAGCAGGTAAGGACTTCCACATCTGGCTTCTTCAGTCAGTAACTGCTCGCTGAATCGTAATATGTGGGTGTGTCAGCGACTAGAGGTCTAGTAGGGGACTTGATAATGAACATTAGTGTTTACACTTTAAAATTAACATAAGAAAAGAACATTAAAGGTTAATTACATCTTTCCACAGAGGACATGTTGACTTTATAGTCAGTTAAGTACAGGTGTACATCAGTGTATTACTGTGAAATATTCAAAAAACTAGGCTACGGTGCTGTCACATATTTGCTTGGGTCGGAGCGTTTAGTGATCATAGGTGGCAAATTTCAAAGCAGTGTGTTGTCCGATCAACCAGATATAACTTTCATAAGACGACCTCTTTCTTTTGATGTAGTGGATATCATTAAAAGCAAACTATCTTTATTGATCTTAACTTTTCTTTGTTACTCTTTCCTGTTGGTCTTGTAGGAGCAGATGAAGCAGCAACAATGGCAACAACAGCAGCACCAGAGTGGGGGCTCTGTGTCTCCCTCAGGTGGTGCTGGTGGTGGTGGTGGCGGCAGCGGCGGCATTCCAGCTCCGCAGCAGCAACAACACCGCTCCATGTATCAGCCCATCGGCCCCCACCACCAGCACCTGGCCTCCATGGGGTTTGACCCCCGCTGGCTCATGATGCAGTCCTACATGGACCCCCGCATAATGTCGGGACGTCCTCCCATGGACATGCCAACTAACATTCACCCCGGTAAGAAGTTATGTGGATAAGAATTACAGAGTGTACGAGTATCTTTGTTTGTGATTAATGTGCCGACAAGCTGACAGATGTGCCAGACGACACGTTTATGCCCGGCAGCTCGTCTGCAGATTTTTTTTTTCCGCTTGTCGCTCACGATTCACAGCAGAAATAAAAAGGGAAAATTATATTTTGACAGTATATTGACATACCAGCAGCATTACAACAGTTTCAATGCGTATATCTGTATGACGTGTCAGACGTGAAAAAAGTTATTTTATTTTTCACACCTCCTGTTTCAAAATAAGAGCCATCTAACGTGTTTATGTTGATGGAATCCCTTCATTTGTTAACACAAGGCTTTTATTCTGAAGTATTTGCAGGACAGTGTTGTGGAAAATGCAGTAACTTGCATGGCTCAATAGATTAATAGAGTTTTTAATTGTTGTATTGTCATTATTTACGAATAAGCTCAGGCTTTTCCCCCATTTTCTGTCTAAAATAGACATAAATAGCATTTAAAATGTAATGAAAAACATTTTGGCCATTATGAAAGGAAAACCTGGGCGTTAACGTTGGTCTGTTTTGTCATCTCCAGGGAGAATGCCTCCTAAGCAGATTGTGCGCAGAGAGCCTGGTGACAACTCCAGCTCCAGCTCTGACTCCTTCGACCATTTGACCCGACCAATCCGTGACCACGGCCTGCCGTCAGACTCGCGCATGGTTTGGGGATCGGACCCGTACCCACAGTCGGAGACGCTACCGTCTGTAACTCCCCCAAAAGGACGGGATGATAACAAGGAGCCGAGGTAAATAGAAGTACATGACATCATAAGAAAAATCTTTTATTTTCTGCACATGCCTATACCTAATGACAATTGTGTCTCTACAGGATGGACTCTGCTTTGGATCTGGACCGGGGTCTCCCAGCGATGTATCCCCAGGACCACAGTGCATTGGACTCTAATAAAAGTAACTTCTTCCAGGACCCTACAGAGTCCCTGTCAGCGTTTACCCAGGACCCAGAGGACCCGCCAGGGCCTCTAGACGGCGTCCCCGTAGGCTCAGCCTTTGATGCTGAGGAGCCGGGCCTACCCAGTGGGGAAGAGGTAGAAGCTCTTGGTCAGGCTATGCTCCAGAGGAGTGTCTCCCAGGGCTCCAGCCACTCCCTCAAGCTGGATGAGCCCATGTTTGATGGGCTATCCCTGGGTACGAAATCTCTAGAGCTACAGGACACGGGAGAACAGGCTGATGATAAGCCCCAGAATGAACTCTACCCCCAAGCTGTGGTGACTAGCAACAGGGCTACACCTCCTGCTGATGGATTACACAAACAAGAGAAGCTGCCTCTGCCAGCTTCTAGCAAGCAGAAAGCTGAGCTGCGCTGGGCTGCTAGATCAGGCGCCGGACGCAGAGAAGGACCAGGGGGAGAGAGACCTGTCCGCAGGTCTGGGCCAATAAAGAAGCCTGTCCTAAGGGACATGAAAGAAGAGCGAGAACAAAGAGAAGAGAGAGAGAAGCGTCACGAGAGAGGGGAAAGAGGGGAGAGACTGGAAAGAGGGGAGAGACTGGAGAGAGGGGAAAGAGGGGAAAGAGGGGACCGGTCCAAAAAGGATCAGCCATCCAAACCTCCTTCTGCAGCTGCTGCTGTGTCTGAGGGCTCCAGACCTCAGGTTGAGGGCAAGAGAGAAGTGGCTGAGGCCGAGGAAACACCGACTGGCCATCAGAGAGTCAGAGACTCCCAGCCTTCAACTGGGCCTCCCACCTCTTCCTCTCAGGAAGAGAAAGTAGACAAACCGCCCAGCAATGACAAACACCCGGAACCCAAACTGCCCTCCAGGAAGGAGTCCAATCTTCCTCCACGTTCCTACCGGCGAGAGGAGAGGGAGCGGGAACGTGAGAGGGAGAAGGAAATGGACCGAGACAGAGACCGAGACAGAGACAGAGACCGAGACCGAGATAGAGAGTGGCCTGCCGACCCAAATTTCAAAGCACGTGGTCGAGGGGAGTATTACGCCAGAGGACGGAGCTACCGGGGAACTTACGGCGGCCGAAGCAGGGGGGGTCGTGGTCGAAGCCGAGCAGAGTTCAATTACAGAGAGCCCCGTTCACGCTCTGATTTACCTTCTGTTGGAGGCGCTGCTGCCTTTCGCAACAGAGAAGAAAGCGAAACGCGCAGCGAGAGCTCAGACTTTGAGGTTATACCAAAACGTAGACGGCGCCGTGGTTCAGACACAGATTCTGAAAGTGAAGGTGGGAGAGAGTCTGCCAGTGATACTGGACCGTCTGACCGTGAGCCGAGCACCAAACCTAGCCATCCATTGAGACGAGAGCTCCCTGGGGAGCCCCGGCCTGGGCCCCACAAGCCAGGCTTTGGACCTCCTCACATGGGGGAAAGAGTTGGACCCAGAGGGGATGATGACGGCAGACCCAAGCCAGGATTCCTCCTGAAAGGAGAGCCTTCTCGGCGAGGAAGAGGAGGATTATACAGTAGACGAGGTGGAGCAAGGGAGCGCGGCGGCCCTCGCTCAGGCCCTCTCAGACGGCCAGGAGCTAGAGAGTCCTCTTCTCAGTGGCCCTCTAGACCCATGGAGACATTCAGGCCTGAGGACACCGAGTCCACCTCAAGATATGACAATCCTGCAGCTGACCGACGACACCCACGGTCTGATGGCAAGAGATTTGGAGACATGGCTCCCCAGAGTAGTAGAGAAAGGCCTCGTCGGTCCAGACCAGCGCGGCCCCCAAGGCAAGATAAACCTCCCCGCTTCAGGCGCTTGAAGGAGCGGGAGGCTGCAGTGTTAGCTAATGGAGAAACAGCCCCAAGTCCTGTCCCTCTACTCCCAGTGCCTGCTGTCTCTAGCTCTGCCCCGGCCCCCATCTCGTTCTCCCCGACCCGGTCTAGAGCTCCAGGAACCCCGGTCACTGTGCCTGCTGAAGTGGCAGCCACTACGTCAGCAACCGACTTGTCCTCTCCTACGGATGCACCCTTGCCTGAGACCAGCAGCCCCACCATTGCTGCAGCCGGCACCAAGTCCCCTGACTTGTCCAACCAGAACTCTTCGGATCAAGCCAATGAGGAATGGGAAACTGCGTCTGAGAGCAGCGACTTCAACGAAAGGAGAGAGCGAGAAGAAAGGAAAGGAGCACTGGAGGCCGCTAATGAAGCAGCCACTGCCTCGGCCCCGGCTCCTGCACCCCCTCAGGGCTCTTTGACCCCCAATAGAAGCCCTCCCGATGGAGGTGTGACTCCAAGACGCGAGGGGGCTCCCGCAGCCAAGAGGAGTTTCTCAAGTCAGAGGCCTACAGAGAGGCAGAATCGTAGAGGCAACAGCGGAGCCAAACCAAGCCGGAGCTACGCAGGGGGCAAGGGGGAGAGGAGGGGAGGGGCCAAAACCGGCCGCAAGGGGTGAGTTTTGAACAAACGAGCTTTTGTGTGTTGTTAAGCATTTACTTTGTCTGCTTACATTAACACTTAACACAATGAAGCTGCCTCAATGAACAGTGTGCAGTAGAATAATACTGGAGGTTTATTCACCTACAATAAACCTTTTGTGTGGTGTTCTTCCTCATTAAGTGCATTTCACTAGTGCAGAAACATGTATCAGGAAGCTCTGGCCGATATTGCCTGTCCAAGTTGACTTTGGCTGTTAAAAGGATTCTCCGCTTGGTTAGGTTACTTTATTCAAGTGTCCATCAAAGTGTTAAAAATAGCTAAATGTGTGGTAGTATTTTTAGACTCCAATTGTACCTTGACAGAAGCATTTGAACATTTTCTCTCTTCATCCATCTGGTGCATCAACACTCGAGCCGTTCGTCTACTTCACTCAAAGGACGGTTAACAAAAGAGGCCTCCTTTTTTTTTTTTTTTTTTTTTTTTTTTTTTTTTTTATTACAGAATTAATTTACATTTTAAGTGTTTCAGGCTCCTTCACCACTTCACTGTTCTCACCAACATTAAAATGTGTCGCGTAGTCTCTCTTTTGGGCCTTTATTTTTCTCTCTGTCCCGAACGTGCGTCTCTGATACAAACAGCCCTGCGGCCCAGCAGAACTCAGAAGGTGGAGCACAAACAGCTGGGGGAGCGTCCCAGAGGCCTACAAAAGACCAGTCCGGCCGGCGCAAAGAGGAGGCCAAACAGGCCGCTAAGAAGCCCAAAGAGAATGCTCTCTCTCAGTTTGATCTCAACAATTACGCCAGTAAGTAACAGTTATACTCTGACACTCTTTTTCTTGCTGATAAGCTAGGAACCTACACTCGGCTCTAGCTGATCATAACATTGAATGTAAATGTCTCGATCCGCTTTTGTCCCGTCACTGTAGGTGTTGTGATCATTGATGACCACCCTGAGGTCACCACCACAGAGGACCCACAGTCCAACACCAACGATGACGGCTTCACTGAGGTGGTGTCCCGCAAGCAACAGAAACGCCTGCAGGACGAAGAGAAACGGAAAAAGGAAGAGCAGACGCCTCAGGTAAGAGGGGGGGCTTTCACCACATAGTTAAAAACAGCAATGCAATACTTTGACACAGTATAATGTACATATTCTATTCCTACAGAACTGGAGTAAAAAAGGCTCTGGTGAGAAGGGCAGAGGGGGCGGAGGAAAGCTGCCACCAAGATTTGCTAAAAAGCAGTCATCGCAGCAGCAACAGCAACAGTCCTCACAGTCTCAGCCTCCTGCAGTCCCTACACCTCAGGCCCCACCACAACCCCTCATTTCTGCTCCCCAGCATCCTCACCTCGCCCCCTCCCAGCCCACCGCATCCCCCCAGACTCTGGAAGGAACAGTGGCTCTACTGCCCTCCATCCCCGCTGCCACTGTGGACTTTACCTCAAAGAGTTTACCTCCCGCGCCTGCGCAGACGCACAGCACCCTGGGTACAGAGCTGTGGGAGAACAAGGTGGCGGGCTGCACTGTCCTTCCTGATGTCAAGAAGCGTGAGTGGATAAGTTGATTCTTGTTAAAAACAATGTCTTAAATTTGTCTCGGTTCCTGAATCTTGTGATGCAGGAGGGGATTTATCAGCCAGCTCTGGTCTGACACATGTAATGTGTTTATTCCAGTTGGTCCAATCAGCCCTCCCCAGCCACCTTCTGTGAGTGCCTGGAACAAACCTCTTACCTCCTTTACTGGCGCTGTCACTGAGGTATGTTGAACACGCCCGTCTCCTTTTGTCCAGCGTGTCCTTTTGGCTAAATGATAAACCTTCAAATGTGTCGTTTCAGGGTGTGAAGCCTGGATCAGAGGGCGGTGTGGAATTGGCAATAGACTGTATTCAGTTTGGAGCGCCGTCGTCTGCAGGCAGCACCGACAGTGATGGAGTTCCAGCGTTGCTAGAAACAGTCTCTGAAAACAAACTACCTGCTCCCAAAGAACAGAGACAGAAACAACCTCGAGCTGGCCCGATCAAAACACAGAAGGTAGCTCAGCCATGGAGGAAACTCGCTGTTTGAACAACACTCATTCCTATGAATTCATTTAAATATTGAATCTCTCCTTCTCTCCAGCTTCCTGAAATGGAACCAATGGAAACCAAGGAGTACAAGCCAGGTCCCATTGGTAAAGAGCGCTCTTTAAAGAACCGCAAGGCCAAAGACGCACGTGGAGGAGAAGGGGAGGGGATGGAGGGAGGAGTCCCTGGAGGAGTTGTCAGTAGAGCCACAGACTCCAGTCCTCCCACCAGTGACACCACAGTACCAGAGCTGGGAGGAGACTTCGAGGGCATGATCACAGTCCCCTCAGCGGAGTACAACAGTAACTCTAAGGTACGTCGGTGTCACATGAGCACACAGCCAGGCTTTAAATACAGAACAATTATTCACATTTTTGCCCACTTTTGACAGCCCTACATTGTTCCTTTTAGGCTGTTAATACACCGAGCCCTGAAACCTGTACGCTTTTAAGTAGTATTTCTGCAGTATAACATGTGTGCTGAATTTATGTCTTTCCCTCTCAGGAGTCTGTCACTGACTACACCACTCCCTCCTCCTCACTGGCTGACAGTGTTCCTACAGGAGTGAACAAAATAGAAGAGAGTTTGGTGGCAAGTGTGAGTACACGTCCTTGTTTTGTACAGCTTTTTTTAAATATTTGAAGAGATCACACGTGCCATAATACCGATGCTTTAATCCTAAACACTGGGGTGTCTTTGATGCGTTTCAGGTGGCGCTACCGCACTCATTGCCACTTCCTCGACGAGAGACCCTGCAGCAGAGCTCCAGCCTTAGCACCGTCTCTCCCGCTACCGTTGACCTAACACTGAAGGTACGTAGAGAAATTAAAAGTTGTTTTGAGTGGGCTGTCCCGCTACAAAACGTTTCAGTGAAACATAACCCGAGCGTTTCTTTCTTTCTGTCTCCTCCTCAGATGGAATCGGCTCGTAAGGCGTGGGAGAACTCCCCGAGTCTGGAGAAGAACTCTCCGGCCACTTCCTCTTCCTCCCCCATCACCTCATGTGCGTCCTCGTACTCCACCTTCTCCTCCGCCTCCATGCCGCAGATCCCCGTGGCTTCTGTCACCCCCAGCACCTCACTGTCAGGTAACATGACTCCAAATTAGAAAGGGGGGTTATATGAGGTAATCCATAGTCGGTGTATCACCTACAGTAGATGGCACACCCAAAGTTCTGAGAAGGAGAGTACCAGCTCGGAGCAAAGCATTGTTCTGCTGTGGACGTATTTTAGACACCTAAAAATGTTTAGAATGTTTTCTCTAACGGTGCTTCTTGACACCTTGTTTACCACTGACATTCTGCAGTACACTGACTTTGTTTTGGGATTTCCCCTTGTGTGACACCTCCTTTGTGGTCTCTTGTATTCACCGTGTGTTCATCTCCACCCCTGCAGGTGCTGGCACCTATACGACGTCATCGCTCAGCACCAAGACCACCACGGCCTCTGACCCCCCCAACATATGCAAGGTGAAGCCCCAGCAGCTGCAGGGTGGAAGTCTGTCCTCCAGCAGTAGCAGCAGCAGCAGCAGCTTCTCTCAGCTGGGCTGCGTGCCGACCCTCCTGGCCCAGCAGCAGCAGACCCCACAGGTGTACGTCTCTCAGTCTGCAGCAGGTGAGAGACGCATGGCACCGAATCAACATATTCATCCACCTATCTATTTTTATTTGTAGATATTTAGTTTTGTATTTTAAAGGCTAAATAGCTAATATTGAAACCCATGTCTGTCGAGGTTCTGCAGCTCAGATTCCAGCCTTCTACATGGACACTAGCCACCTCTTCAGTACCCCCCACCCTCGCTTGGCTCCTCCCTCCCTGGCGCAGCAGCAGGGCTTCCAGCCCGGCATCTCACAGGTACGGTTTTCTGTTTCAGCAACATGCTGTAGGAATGTTTGTTTTTTTTTAATGTTGGAGGTAAAACTACCTGCGTTTCTTCTCCACCTTTTTATAGGCGACAGCAGTGCAGCAGATTCCCATCCCTATCTACGCTCCACTGCAAGGTCAGCCGCAGCACCAACACCAACACCAACACCAGCCGCAGCACCAACACCAACACCAACATCAGCCGCAGCACCAACACCAACATCAGCCGCAGCATCAACACCAACATCAGCACCAACACCAACATCAGCATCAACACCAACACCAACACACACATCAGGCTCAGCTCGGACTCAGTGCTGGTCCCCCAGTCTCCCAGCAACAGGACCTGTTCAGCTCCTCACTGCAGCCTTACAGGTAACTCACAACACTGCACTCGTATTCTGTTCTCTGCTCCAACACGCTCAGTACTGCTGAACCGCCAGTGTGCTGTTGTTCGCTCATCCGATCCCACGTCCTGATCCGTCCTCAGGTCTCAGCAGGCGTTCATGCAGAGCAGCCTGTCGCAGCCCTCCATGATGCTGTCGGGGCCGTCGCTGCACAGCTATGCCGGCGTCCAGGCGTCTGAGCTCGGCAAGCCTCAGTCTAGTCTGGCCTATCAGCAGGCCTCCTCCACCCAGCACATTCCCATTATGTTTGAGCCGCAGCTCAACCAGCCCTCTGGCATGGGAGGCTCCCAGCTCATTGACACGCACCTGCTGCAGGTAACCAGTCTGCACAAAGGATCTGTCCCACTCAGCCTCATGGTATTGACCAACACCTTACTGACCCCTACATTTATTTGTTAATGTGTTTGTGTGTTCCATCTGACATATCTGTGTCTGTGCTTCAGGCCCGACAGGGGATGAGTCAGCATTCTAACATGTACTCGGGACAGGTGCAACAACACGGCCAGAGTAGCTACTACAGCAACACCCAGTCGCCCAGCTCTGCAATGCAGCAGGTAACCTGCATGCAAACATAAGTTTATAAACCTCTTATATCGCTTTTGTTGTGTTGGTGGTTAAACAAAGACCTTAATCCAGTGGTTTAAATCAGCAAAGCGGCACAACTTCCTTTTGATTGGTGAATGATTTGATCGTTTGCGTGTCTTAATCTCTCTCCAGATGACGGTCTCAATGCCCAGCTCCCAGCTGTCCCTGTCTAACTTTGGCTCGGGTGGAGGCCAGCCCCTCCTGGCGCTGCCTCCCACTCCTCCCCAGGCCCAGCCCCCCAACATCAACCGGCAGCCCCCGGTCTCCCAGCCATACCGAGGCATCATGGGCCCCAACCACAGCATGATGCAGCCTCCGACCAGCAAGGTACTGTCGTGCTGCTATTCTCAACCACTGGGAGTCATTTAAAGCGAGCTGTTCTTATATCTAAATAGTTCAGCACTAGCATGAATACAAAATGTCATTAAAATGCATAATTTCAGAGACTTTTGCATATCATCACAATACATCAAGTAGAGTTGTTGGCTAGCTACTGTTCCCTCGTATGAAGTGAAACAAAATGTGTTTAACCAGAGAGTGATGTGGGAGACGACGCTACTCTAGTAAAAGCTCCAAAGCATGTAGTGATGAAATATGAACACATTAAATATGACTTTATAATGGCAGGGGTGAGGGTAAGCTGAATATTTGTCCAGGTCATTACAGCTGGCAGTAGCATCAGACATAATCCTTTTTAAAGACTCTGAATTGTGCCTTAAGATAAGAGGTTGAGAACCCTCCTGTAGTGTGAATCTCTTGCTGATTTAGATTTCTAAAGCTGGAGTTGGAACAGTTTTTGTGTGTGGACACTTTGCAGATGGACATGGATCTGAAACTCTTTGGCAGTGGGATGGATGTGAAGCCCGGAACCCCTCCTATCGGCGCCCGGAGCACCACGCCCACCTCCAGCCATTACAGGTACCCCCTATAGATTCACATCGGACACGAGCAACACGTATACAACAAATGTAAATATGTGTGTACACAAGCAGCACCAAACAGTCTCTCATTTATTTTATTCATAAGATGTTTGTCGCCAAGTTAGCACTGTATCTAGTTCGGTTCATGTGTTATTTATGATGATCGTTTCCTCCTCCGCCTGCAGAGCGAGCTCCACGTCTCCCAGCAGCCAGTCCAGTAAGATCAACAGCATGCTGTACCAGAAGCAGTTCCAGGCTAGCTCTGCCGGCATGAGGATGGCGCAGCACTTCCCTGGCCAGTTCAACCCACAGGTAGATTAATCTCACCTGTATTTAGATGGATTGGTATCAGCATGAAGGTTAAATGTCAAGCATCCATTTATTTCCTGTTTCTTCCTCTTCATTTCAGATTCTGTCTCAGCCCAACATCGTGTCTCCTCTGGTTCGACCTCCTCACGTTAACTCGTTTGCTGGAGGCATCCAGCGCTCTCCCATGGGCCCCCCGATGTCGCCCAATATGGGAGGTGGTCTCATGCCCCATCCCCGCCCTCTGCACCCTCAGCACCCACAGCACAGCCAGCACCCTCCCAGAGGACCTCCCGGTCCCTCGCTTGCTCCCAGAGGCACACAGGCGGCTATGAAGGCTGAGCAGGACCTAAAGGTCTGGTTCCCCGTTTTATCAGACGATGAAGTAATCTTTCAGTGATTGGTGGCTTTGGCTTATTTTGATCGTGTCTTCATCACTCTGCAGGCAAAGCAGCGGGCCGAGGTGCTCCAGGCCACTCATAAGTTCTTCTCGGAGCAGCAGCAGCTCAAGGCCGCCCCGCAAGTCAGCAAAGTGTCGCGGCTCGATCAGGGGGGGAAACCCCCGCTCGACGCCTCCGCCCCAATCCACCAGGCCATGGGCGAACGCCCGGATCCCGACAAACCTCCCATCTCCTCGGCCAAGCCCGTCCGGACTGGCCCCATAAAACCGCAGGCCATCAAACCAGAAGAGGGCAAGTAAAGAGCGGCGGAACCCTCTTCAGATGACAATATGAATGGATGGGAGAGAGAGGATCGAGCACCTTTCACTCAGTCGCCGCCTCATATCAGCCCTGGGGGGGGACAGTGGGGGGGGGGGGGGGGGGGGGGGGGGGGGGGGGGGGGGGTGCGAGTTAATGGTGGAGGAGGCACTGTCCCGCCTACACATAATCCTCCTCCTTTCTTCCCCTATCTTGTCCCACTGTAGGTGGCGGCGTTTTGAGTCCATCGTATTTAGAAGCCGATTTAAAATGGCTGCACAAGTTGTTCCACAGAGATCTACTCAGACGGTAGATCGGAGGAGAGTTGGAAAGAAAATTCGAAAATGAGATTTGCTGCTGAGTTTGCCTTTTTTTTCTTTTTTTTTTTTTTTTTTTTTTTTTTTTTTTTAATTGCTTTTTTTTTTTTTTGCCTTTTTTTTTCTTTCCCCCCCCCCCCCAAGATACGATCGCGCATATTATAGGAGAACGCTGTTTTTGTTAAACGAAAGAATCAGTTTTTTTTTTTGTTTTTTTTGTGTAGTCGAAACAATCTTGTTAAGGAGATGTCATTTTAGCCAAGCACACTTTGTGTTGGTCATAACTAGTCACGTGGAAATGCACCTCGATTACCACACACTCACATTTCATCCACGGTCACCGCACACAGTCGTGCAATCAGAAACTTCTCGTCTTTTTTTTTGTGTTTTTACCAGAACGGAAATGTGAAAAATTAAAGCAGTTGATTGAAATGAATGATTTTTTGATTTATCGATAAGTCTGCCCGTGAGCTTATGCTCCTGCCTTCTGCTCTCATCTCCTCGACCGAGAATTACTGATGTGTTGGGATGCGTGTGTGTTTGTGGCATCGTAGCTGGACTCCCCTGTTTATCTGGCCAAAGGTTAAAGCAGCGCAGAGAAGACGTCACCGCCTTTTGTTTTTGGGGGATTTTAAGGAGTTCTGATTGGACTTTACAGGATCACTACATAAAGCTACTCTCACACACTCATTTCACTGCTTCCTTGCTGTCACACAAACACACACCTATACACACTTCACTGTAAAGCACCCAGGCCTGCTGCTATTGACTGATTTCAGTGCCCTTAGCTAGAGAATAGCTGCAGGATAGGGCTATTTTAGAGGAATAGAAACGGTGAGGAGTTAATGGGTGAAACAGTAGAAAACTCAAGTGTGTGTGTGTGTGTGTGTGTGTGTGTCTCTCAACCCTCACGAGGACGGAGAACAAGAAAAAAAAAAAAAAAAGCCTCAAGTTCAGAAGCGTTTAAGCAGGACGACACTTATTGTTTAGTTGTCTTTACTGATGAGAGCAATCAGCGCTGTGTTCTGTCTCCGCCTCACCTCCGCTGGCTGTCCCACCCACAATGCTTTCATCTCGGGGTTGTGGCGACGAGGGCCCTTCAGAAATGTACAGTAGTATGCACCCTGGGGTGGGGGGGGGGGGGGGCGCCCCCCCCCCCCCCCCCCCAGGGGGGGGAAGAGTCCTTTCTTTGAAGGATGGATGAGGGAGGGAGGGAGGGAGGGAGGGAGGGAGGGAGGGTAATGATTTTGTTTTGTTGAACTTGTACAGGGGTTTCATCGCTGTATTAAAATATGTACGGTCTTATTTACATTCTCTTGGTTTGGTTACAGAAACTAATAAAATAATATACTGTTGAGATGTTTGTCAGTGATGCCTGGTTTGTACTTTCAACAGTTTCATTTATTTTGATCTACATCAGAATTAATGTTCGGCACAGATCACATCTAGCCACTAGGTGTCACTACAACACTTAACATGGAGGAAAATCTAGTTCCTACTTCTTTTAAAGGGATCATCAAAAGGTAACAAATATCAGTGGTTATGAATCATTTAATAATGTTCTATACATCAGTTTTTAACCATTAACAACGTTTGCGTTGCCAGGCTTCAGCTGGTGTTGATCCTCCAGCAGTACACCGTCTTTGTCTTGTTAGTGCTGCATGAAAGGGATTTGGTGAACAATAAGTTGATTAGCATCTTGTGAAAATTTAGATCTGCAGATTTGATGAATTTAATAAATGTATTGACCTATTAACATTTATACCATAACCACAGAAGGGTTTCTGATGGCTTATTACAAATTCTTGACCCTTTTTATTATCATTTCTGCCAGGAGGATCAAGTGATTGGTCGATCGGTGTGTGCGTGAGTGAGTGTCTGTCCACGACAAATCTCGCATTCTGCTGCAGCAAACGTATTGTTTGGGTGGCTGGTTATGGCTGCATGGTCGTGGTCCTCTCGTGATAGCGGTGCTTTCTCAAAACGCCTTTTAATTACTTTTTTCTTCTTGGCAAGACGGGCTACCCTGACACGAACTTCTCAAGGACCGTGCAGAACCTTAACCAGTCGTCTGCCTCAACCAGATACGCAGGGCGGGTCTTACCAAAAAGAGCAGTGGGACTATTTATTCATTAATAATTAGCCATTTGTGGGTTGTGTTCATTCAGTCTTAACCGTTAATATTAAAGTTATTAGAGCTTACAAACCCTTTATATAAAGAGGTACATACGCATCTCTAAGGTTCATAATAACCACACAAACTGTAACTTAGGATGTTTATTTCATGATGATTTTTAACATTACATCATTCTGTTGGCTACAACAGTGTACAAGTACATGCAATATTCAACACATGCTGAGTGAGAGCAGTTTATCTAATACGACATGGTGAAACTGTAGCAGTTTGTTTTCATTGTATGCTTTGATTATCCCACTTGGCTTGTAAAATTCATTCATCCTTCAGTCCTCAAAAATATATATATATATATATATATATATATATATATATATCTTATCAAGAACACAAAATCATACATCTGAATTGAAGGCGGTACAAAAATAATTCCTCTAAAAACATGTTTAAAAACAAAAGCCCACCCACTGAAGAAAAAGATTTTTTTTAAAAAGCACACTTGCGAGAAACACTGTTCCTCAAACGTCTTCACGTCGGAGTTTGGTAGCTCTTCTACGCTGATGGTGTTGGCTTTATGACTACGACTACCACGCGCATTGTGCTCTAAAGCTCTGAGTCTTTGAAGCGGGAACAGCTGAGCTTTTCAACAGTCAATCATGGAGGCCTCAGTTGGCCTGCTGGCGACCCAGCCTGAGGTCGTAGGACACCATGTGGAAGTTGTCCCAGGCGAACAGCTTCCTCTGAGCCAGGTTATAGTCGATCATGCTGTTGTAGCGGTACTTGTTCCTGAAGGGGACGGCCATGGGCTTCCCCTGGCTGGTTTTGGTGTCGTACACGTAGTTGATGATGGTGTCCGGCGCCGTGTAGCTGGCTACGGTGTACAGCTTGCCGCAGATGATGAAGGTGTTGGCCACGGAGTTCTTCCTGATGTTGGTCTCCCAGCTCCTCTTCACATCCAGGCTGTGCGGGTCCAGCTGCGAGATCACGATGGCCCCCTTGGCCTTGCTGGTGGAGTAGACGGCCCACAGCCCTTGCTCATCCACGGACAGGTCGATGTCCGTGTAGCCGCCCCAGGAGTAAGGGAACTGGCCGTGGAAGCCGGCGTGGGGGAGGTCGCGACGCGCTGCGGTGCTCTCGGAGGCGAGATCGAAGCGGATGAGGGAGCGGCTGCGTCGTCTCTGGTAATACAGAGAGCCTCGGTACAGAGTGGCACCGGTGCTCTCCACCAGCTCTGGCAACATCAGGACCTGTCAGGGGAAAAAACAGAGTGAGATTTTTTGGGGGGCTTATTCCAAATGAGGGACTATCATCCATCTGACACCGACCTTGGATGGGAAGCCTTTAGAGAGTTGCTCCATGTCGTCGTACCCGAACAGCTGCCTGACGTCAGAGCCGATGGTGTCGATACGCCAGACCATCTCCGGTCCGTAAGGGGAGACGGCCTCGGGGTCCTGCATCCAAACGCCATATTTACCCGCTATGTTGTCCGCCTTCCTGTGAGTCACCGGCTCAGCAACTGAGACCAACTCCCCACAACCTGCGCGCAAGAAGAAGAGGAAGGGATGAAGAGATGAAACACATTGAAGAAATATACAATATACTATAATTATGTTCAAGATGTGAAAATCTAGGCAAAGAGCACTGGATCAAAAAACGTTTTTATCAAACAAATACAGGACTTTCAACCAGGAGACCAATGTTCGTGTCCCAACGGGTCTTTGGGTTATTTAGAATTTACTTTCACAATGCTCGTGACATGTTTTCAGTACTAGTGTTTACATTTTACTTAGTTCAAGTACGATTTTAAGCCCAATCATGATGCTTTACCTAAACCTAGCGTAAAATTGGATCACATATTTCCGTCTTCAGGAGACATTTTTCGCGGTCAGTGGTGCACATTAGAGGGGACCTCTACATGTGTGCGTGACTGAGGGCCAATGGGGGCAATCCGAGAGCTGGTCAGGGGTGTGATGAGGTCGTCATTTCCCAGCATGGGGGCAGACGGCAGGTCTAGAGATGCTGCCTGACATCTCTGTTGAGTCACGACCATCAGAGCAGCAACTGGACCACAACTCATCCTGCGTCTCTTCGCTGCTCGTATCGCGGGGAAAAGGATAAAGCAGTGCTGTATATTTACCACTTCCTAAAATACACCCTCGCTCTCAGGTCCAGCACGTAGCAGCGGATTAAGGGTTTGATAGGAATATGGTCTTATAAATACACCCACTGCCATGCAGCTTTCCTGTTGGCGCAGCCTCATCAGAGATATCATGACTTCACGTGGTGACCCCACGTGTATTTTCCTGACATCCCAAACAATCAAACCTGCAGAGAGCCATTCAGCAGCACACGCACGTGGTGGGTTTTTGGGGAAAGGGAAGGGGGGGGGGGGGGGGTCAGCAGCGTGTGTGACAACCTCGTTAGGCGTGTTTTCTCCATTTACATTTACGAGACAAAACGTGAAACTCTGGGGAAGGCCCTCATACCTGCGGATTGGCATGCCGTTGGTATTCTCGTTCCAAATGCTGCAGTAATAATAGCAGTATTTGCTTTGAGGCTGTCAGCAGGGGGGCGAGTGTCATGTTTGCCAGGTCAGATGGAGGGGGAGGAGGGAGAAAGGGGTGAGTGAGAGGGGTATACGCTGCCAGGACTGGATTTAAAGGACTATGCTGGGGTGTTTGCACGGTTTAGCTCTTTAACTGCAGAACATGTGTTCCTTAGGAATTCAAAGCAAACTTTTCCTCAGTATTAATATTATTAATATTCTCAGCTTTTCGCTGTTAGCAGCGTGCAGCACAGTCCTGCTTGGCTACTTAACGGAGCTAACGTTTACAGAGGTTGCATTAAGTTAAATGATGATGCGTTTAAGCTCTATTCAGTAAAAATGAGAATTGGCCGAAGGACAATTATAATGTCATCATGATGTGTTCAAGTTGTTTTTGGAGAGAAATGGAGATTTTATTTCTCAGCAACATAAAATAGATATTCGAGAGGGAATTATGACCTTTTTAAGTTTTTTGCATTAACGCGCTGGTATTGGATCGATACTCGATATCGGCCGATGCAAACGTTCAGGTATCGGAATCGTGAAGGAAAAAGTGGTATCAGAACATTGTAGTAAATAGGCTAAAACATCACACTGAGCCACTATAAATAAACTATACAATAAATCGGAATATTTCAAACAGAGACCTGTGTTGTCCTCAGATCCATGAGGAGCCGGTACCTCTGTCACCTCAGCCTTCAGCTCCTGGAAACCCGGATGTCCGTACTCCCACGCCGAGTCTGACGGGAAGAGACGAGGAGACACATGGATTTAGTTGAATAATAAAACTGCGAGGATGGAGGTGATTCTGCAGAAAACGTGACCACACCTCTCAAACTGCTGCTGTCTCCCTGCCTGTTGGGCCTGGTCATCAGGTGAGACATGGGATTGGAACCTAAACACACACGCAGAGTTTAGTGATTTCGGTTGTAGGCCTACGTCTCACATTCAGCGTACAATAGTTAGGAGAGTGTTTGTGTACCCAAAACGTGGCTGTGGCACTACTGACAGCAGGGAATGTGACAGCAGGAAACAAACACCCCTGAATGGATTCCCAGCTGCTCCGGAGTCAGGCAGTCGGTAGATTTGGCCGACCGTAACACACACACACACACACACACACACATTCGACACCCATCCCACCCCGGCACCTCAAAACTTCAAACCAGTCCCATATCAGCCTCTCTTTCTTTTTCTTCTCCTTTTTTTATATTTTTCCTCCAACCCTGTCCTTATTTTCCTTATCTGACTCCTTCTTGAGACCATTACTGTTGAGAGTAAACAACGTCTGTGAACTGTGTACTCTGTTTACAACAGAAAAATGAGCTTTTCAAATATGTTTTCATCATAATGGTTATGAAGCGTGTGTTTGTGTACCTGTGTTCATGGGTGACTATTTGCACGTTGCCCGCTGTGCTCTTGTACGTGCCGTGTCTGGTGATTTCAGGCGTACGAATGAGCCCTAATGGTGCGGAGAACTTTAAGCGCTCGCATCTGAAAGCCGATGTTGATTCTCAGCGTCGATGAGGAGAGGGAGAGGGAGGTGGGCGATGAGGCAGACGTGTTTTGAGGGTTACAAGATGCAGCCATTCAGCATCATCATCATCATCACAGGTAAACAGCCACTTTGTCTTACTGTCTTTTCCCCTGAGTGTGTGGGTGTTTACTGTGAGCCATATGTGCACTCACATCCTGCCTCTTTGTTTGGGATGTCACAGAGCAGAATACCACAAACTGCACAGACCAGACGGGTCTTCATTTCCCAGAGGAGGCTCAGCCAGAGGAGGCAGCGGCCTAATCAACCCCGGCTTACAGAGTTCAGCAGAGCTGTTGGATGTAACTCAGACAATTGTTGTCAGGAAACTTATTTCCCCCCAGTATTCCTAATTCAGGGTGCTGTGTATAATCAACAGTCGGAGGACTTTTAAACATTTTGAACTCCAAATTGGCCACAGGCTGGTCCTTTAGTGCCTCTACATACCGCATGATATGCACATTGATTGAAAGATCTTAGAAGTTCATTAAACATTATTTATGACTGCTTATCCTCCTGGCTGCACACATATGCACACACACACACACACACACACTGGTAACATGTGGCTGTTTACCTGTGATGGTGATGAAGAATGGCTACAGGAAACCAGATTGAAAAGAAAGCCTCTGATATGATAGACATGGTGAAATCAACTGTGTTTTTGGCAATGGGCTAGACCTGAGTACACGGCACATGCGTGCTCTTATGACCTGAAAATAAACTTTGTTTCGGCATGTATTGGATGGATTTGTTCTGCCTCGAGCACATGCCATTTTTATCGTCATGAAATAATTACAATATTTTGAGAGGAAAATGTTACTGCAGGTCATAACCACCGCTTGAGTTGTAAAAAAAGAAATTCCTGTCAGAGTTGCCAAAACGCTGTGACGTTGACCTCCTCTCTGCGTTCTGCGCGTCGTCCTCTCGCATGTGATCTATTCTACATCTGCCTCTCACCCTGAGGGGCCCTCGCTGTGTATTTCAGTCTGCAGGTGCAAACATGAGGAGCTAAGCAGATAACCTGGAGTATGCAGAAGATTGAGTGTAAACTTTTTTCTGATGCAGAGGGAGAAGTGATGTGAGGTGGACGGGGAGATGTGGCAGAGAAGGATTTACGAGCAGTAGGCCACACTCTGAGAGCCGAGCGGGTAAACAGAGCGACGGCTGAACTGAGAAAAGAAAGGGGGGGGGGGTTACCAACCAACAGGAGATGGCAAGTGAAAAGACGAGGGCTAGTTAAACAGATGTTTGGCTACTGCAAACACACAGAATTCCAGAGCTTAACCTCACTGGCTCCAAGATAACTCCCTCGATCTGTGTGGCCCTCTGACCCCCCCTGGGAGTATAGTGTTCCTCCCTCCCCACCTACCCTGACCCACCAGGCGTGATCAAAAGCCCAACCCGAGCGTGCACTTCCAGAGCGTGCATCGCATTTCAGCTGCTTCTCCCGTTCCACATAACCTGGCTATTCGCGCCCTGCTCGTCATGCACAGGGAAACACCGGTCATAAAAGAAGCCGGATCTGCTCATGAAATACTGAGCCGACCCTCTCTGGCTCGTCACCATCACCCTAAATGCAGGAGCAGAAACCTGAGCCGAGTGGTCTAATGTGCAGACTAATGGGGCAACCAAAACATTAACCGCACAAGTACACACAACATTGGAGCATGCACACACTTTGTCCCCCTGCTGTCTTTAAGGGGATTTATGCAGGAAGATGTCGGGAGGAATAAACTTTGTGTGTTTGCATTGAGAGCAATGGAAACCAGAGTCAAATTCCTTCACGTAACTGGCCAATGAAGCTCATTATTTATCAGCTTTTTCTCTGTTTCTGCAGACAGTGAACAGAAACAAACACACACACACACACACACACACAGTGCAAAACTCTGGGATTGTGTGTGGCTCTGTACCTGCATGGTATTCCACACATGGATGACATTTATGCTTCAATGTTTCTCTGCTTCAATTAATCCATTTTACTTCAATCAGAATCCCCAAATAGCAGAAAGAACACCTGTCTGCAGGCTAAGTAATCTAGTTGTGCATCTTAATGCATTAGAATATAAAATAAAAACGTGTGCACAATTATCTAAAAGCTGGGAATTTATAAAACATGTATATTTATGAGTTTAAACAGTTTCTATTTATAGGTGTCGATAAGCTTCACACATTTTTTGAGTGGCTCATAAAGAGTGTGGTGGTTTAGAGTGTATCTCTTACCCCCAGCAGGTCTAGTCAGGCCACTGTCCTGCAGAGGGGGGCTTGGTGGCACCATGGGGGTCTGTGGAGGACACGGTCTGCTCCTCAGCCTTTCCGTCTCCCTCCTCATCTCCTCCATCCTGCGCTGAAGCCCCTGCAGCTCCTGCTCCTGACGCTCCTTCTCCCCCCGCAGCAGGTTCCTCTCCCCCATGGCCCGGTCCAGCGCCTCCTGAAGCCCAGGCCGAGCTGCGGCCCCGGCCCCTTGGGGACCCCCGGTGTCCCCTCCGGTCAGCCGGGACACCAGCACCTCCAGCAGGCTGAGTCTAGCCTTCAGGCCCTCCACCTCGGGGCCCCCCGTCTGCGGGCAGCTGGCCTCGACGGGGCTGGGCACGGTGAAGGTGTACTGGCATCGTCCACTCCGGTCGTTCCCCCTCCACAGAGCGGCTCGGTCCTGAGCGTCTCCTTGCAGCAGAAGACCACACATACACAACGAGAGAAGGAAAAACATCGTGGGGACCGTCCTTCCACAGATCTGATGGTTCCTTTAAATTCTCCTGACCAATCTTCTTTTATTTGTCACCTCTAAACTTAAACTCTCCTTTAATCAATTAATAATTCCCAATTTCCTGGTGATTATTGTTTTAGTCTTATTTTGTCTCACTCTTTTCTCAGGTATCTCTTCTTCTTCTGTCCTCCCCTCTCTCTTCTTCTTCTGTCTCTCCTCAGTGGACAGGTCTGTAACACTGAGCTCTCCCCAACAGCTCACAGATATTTATACGATCTGGAGGGGAGGGAAGGAGGGGAAGAGAGGAGAGGTGAAAGGAAAGGAGGGGAGTGGAAGGATACAAACTTGGGGGGAGGGGGTCAGAGGACAAGGAGGAGGGAGGGAAGAAGAAAAGAGAAAGTTATTGGATGATGGTTGTTTTGGGGACAAAAGCATAACTTATTTTACACAATTTTGAGCGTCTGTCATTCTGCAAAAGCTGTTTTTTATTCAAGGGTCCAACATGACAGCATCTGTCTTTTAAATTTGTGTAATTCAGCCCCTCCAGTGTCTTTTACTCATATCTTATCTGTAGAAACATCCCGTGATACGCGTGATGTGTCGAAGGGGATTTGGCCTCAGCATGGCAGGGTGAGCAATTACATCCTGAGGAGCACGGTGTCCCCTTTCAGATTGGTAGGGGGGCCACAACGTGACTATAGCAGCCGATAAGGGCTGTCATTAGGATGGGGTCGAGGTTACAGGTCAATCGATGAGCGCTGACCCCCGACATAGAACCGGATTCCTTTTCGGCTGAGCTTGGGTCTGATGTGGACAGTGTATGTGTGTTTTCTTGCTGCAGACTTCACTCAAATGTACATTTAATACAACCCGAGTGAGCTGCCGGGGACCATTCCTCCAAAAAAAGCTCACTTCCTGTCACTTGCTGCCCGGGGTGGATTTGTTGCAGTCTGCCTCCCATCCCCTCGTCTCTTTGCTTTAACACAACATCACAGACACACTGAACCTCTGCCTGCGAGCCTCACTTCTACAGGCATGTGAACGATCTCTTGTTCATTTCCACAGAGGCAGGATGAAAAGATTTGGAAGTGAGACACTTGCTCAGAGATGCACGCAATGAGACAGGTGTGCAGACGCACGCCCCCCTACTGGTCCTCGCTGTGCAAGTCTCAGCTTACCCTCATATCCTGCCTCTTTGTTTTGGTTCCTAGAATATGTCCTGGCTCCTCTCCTACGCTTCTTCTCCTCATGTCTCCTACTTTGCGGTGTTTGTTCAGATTTCTTGTACACTAGAAATAAAGGTGCTAACTAGAACCATATTGGGTTCTTTGGCTTGTCCTCATGGGAGAAGCCTTTTCGGTTCCTGGTAGAACCTTTTACAAAGTTGCACCTTGAACCCTTTCAGAGGGTTCTAACTATCAACATAAAGGTTTATACCTAGAAGCATCTGTAAAAGGTTCCACCCAAAACCCCATAGGAGAGTTCCGACAGAAAATCCTTCTAATGTACAGGTTCCACCTAGATCCCTCTCTGGAGGTTCTATCTAGATGCTAACAAGACCCCTTATATATTGCAATGGTTTCATCTAGAAACCATTCTACCGAGAACCCTTTTATATTTCAAGGATTTAATATAGAACCCACCCAGAGGGTTCTAACCAGAAACCTTTCACATTACATGGGTTTCATCTAAAACCCACCCAGGGGGTTCTTCAAAACCGCAATCAACAAACCAATGGGTGATGTCACGGTGACTACACGACTTCTTATATTCAGTTCTATGGTTCTTCAGAAGCAAACGGTGCTGGGTAGAACCTCAGCCCTTTAGGAGAAACCCTTTAGAGCCCTTATTTCTAAAAGTGATCCATCTCTGCTGACCCCCCCCAGGCCACCCTGAACCCTAAAACACCACCTGACCCAGATTCTTCACTCCATGGCTCTAGGGCAAAGGATGCATACTCTTCAGAAAAACACTTCCTCTTGCCGATTGATGCCAGCCTCATCTGCTTCTGGCAGAGCTTGTTTACAGACAGCTGGTGGTATACCTGAGACAGTTGCCTTTGATTGATGAGGCAAGTCTATGATTGGTCGGACAGATGGGCGAGTGGATGAATGAGGTATATGGTTTAGTCTGCCTTTGAAAAACACATCCTCTTACAGGAAATATCTTAAGAATGAGAAACTTAAGAGAGGGTGGGACAGTCCTTTATTTCACAAAGGAGTGAAATAAATCATCAAAGGAGGAAAAGATGAGAGTAAAACCATGTGTACAAAGAAAAATAGGTGAGAACGAGTGAAGACAGAAGATCCTGGGAAAGTAGTAGGAGGAGTGTTTAAACATATGCACAATGTTTCATTCACTAGAATCAATCGGAAATGTATTCTCCACTTCTTCTAGCTCGTGACATTCTCCCTCGTTTCTCCACAGGATGTGTGTGTGACTGACTAATGCTTGTTGGCACATCGTCTACTCTTCTCTGTCTCTCTCTGTTGGGTGAATATTGAAACTCTATTATTGAAATATTGAAATTATGACTCAAATAACCGCTGCTATGCCCGAAATCTGAAGTCATCCAGTATGAGTCCTATAATGAAGGACCAAAACATGTTCTGTTGCCAGTGTGGGTGTCTCCAGCAGGAAGAGAGCATAGAAATGTTCTCTCACGAACAAATAAACAGTTTAGTGTAACACTGAATAATTTTACCCTTTGCATACAGCTGGACAAAGTCCTGACCAGAGGCTGAATCAAACCTCCAGACAGCCACTTTCCAGTTAAAGCAAGTTGTAACAAATGTCACATTGCAATAACATAATAAACCTTTCCTCTCTTTTCTGTGGAATTGACATTAAGCTGTCAGTGCATGACAAACTCTGGTGAATCTGTGCTAATGACTGATAGCAACGTGCTTTGCTACATTGCTAGAGCGTGAGGATGAGGCACGCATTTGTTATATTATACTCATTTAGCAGCAGGCTAGTTAGCTAGCTAGCTTGCTTATTCATCCATGATTTCATGCTACAATTATAGAGAATTTAAAAAAAAAAAGCACTACATGAACTGCTGGGCTTGGTCTACATTTCTTTTAACATTGAGACGGAATTTACCGCTTTAAAATTATCGTTCATGATAGTCGTTAACATTTCAGTTAGCTTACGCTCATCGCTGGCGCTAAAGCTAATTGCTAGCATGAAGGCTATTGTTGTGATTATTGTTAGGTAAGGTTGCTGTAAAGGGTGATTGTCACAAAATACAGTTCAAACTAATAAACATTTGTGAATTTAAGTTTACATGCGGGGCCGGGATATATTTGTATGCTTGCGATTAGCATCAGCACCAGCTACGTGTATGCTATCAGTTAGCATAAGCAATTCACAGGTTCATTGAGAGAGGACCGGCCACTCTTCACTAATACTCCTCTCTCAATAGTCTGCAGACTCCATTAATTGCTTCTATAGGAGGAGGAATCTGTAGAAATGAAATACTTGTAAAGATTTGGACCTGAATCCATCAATAACACTATTAAATACCCATATAAGTGGTTTAGGATTAAGTACTCTATGAGAAAGAGTTAGCTTCCCCTTTAAAATGTCTTTGTGGGTAACTTTTCCTGCTGTAAATAAGCATATCGAGGGTCAAAGCGCAAAACCTCCTATCTGCAGAATTTTCTGATGGCCAGATTTCACTTTGGATGATGAGAACAAGGAAGGCTGTTCATATTCAGTCTGTCTTAAAATAATCCCGCCCTTTGTTGAAACTTAATTTAGAGCATCATTTTGTAGAACCTCTTCCAACTTGCACCAAGTGCAAAATATCCTATCTGCAAAATGATCCAGGCATTTTTCAGATCGGAGGTTTTGCTTTTCGGCCATCGATATGGGATGAAATGCCCTCTCTTCTCTTCAACGCTGAAATATGGCCTTCACCCCCCTGCCGTGCGCACTAGCAACTAGCGCGAGCTGGAATACCATCTGCCGTAGATCAATGAAGTAAAAGACCCCTCTGGGCCAATATAATGTCTGCTCCCTCAGAAGGGTTGGGCAGCGCTGGCTGAGCAAAGAGCAGAGCTGTCAGTGTGCGTTTGTGTCTACTGTCCGGAGAGGACAGGAGCAGCCGGTCTGTCGGAACAATAGCGCTTCACGGCGTCCAGTCACTTCAAACTTTAGTGCCATCTTGGGACTCCACACTGCCAGTAAAGCCAGACCAATAAAAAAGAGTTTGGTAATGAGATAAAAATAGAGCTCAGGCTTTAGAAAGTGGTTAAGAGTGAAGGGATGGCATTTTCATCTTCTTTCTTTCCATCAACCAAACTTTCCCTACGATTGCTCCCCCCATCCTCACTTTTCTGATCTCATCCTCGCAGGAAAACCAGTTAAAACCAGTTGAAACCACACCGGTGCCCTTTAAAATCACTTTATTCCAGAGCAAAAAGGATCATTATATCACAGTCTTCCAATGCAATGCAGAGAGTATTGTACATCATTACAGAATCAATATTTACAGCTAAAATAAATTACATCAACAAAAAAAGTATGACAATGTAGAGCTCCAATGTGTTATACAGTTAATTAATCCAGAACACAATGACACCTAAGTTTGTTTCACAGCGAGACGTTTAACTTGCATCTCTTAAGTTACCCCTGCTTTAAAGTAATGTAACAGTTCTGTGGGAATACCAGCGTTCATACAAACATCACATTGAGCGACCGGCATAAATAAGGAAAAATAGTGAAGTAAAGACAGAAGAAGCGTTAAAATCAAACAGAGCCATCTGTCACGAGCAGGAAAGCAGCGCAGCCGCGACCCAACGGGCCCCAGAGCCCGGCTCAAGCCGGGAGGGAGGCGAGCGGTCCGGAGAGGCCGAGGAGACATTCATGACCTGGATGTTTTGGTTCGCCGCCGTCCTGCCGTACAGTTTAACAAGCTACCAAGGGGCAGACGGAAAGCGGTGATTTATGGAGGAGAATAATATTCAGGATGCCGTCTGAATCGATGACCTTCCTTTCCCCGATCATCTGCACTGATGAGGTAACATACCTGATAAGTGAAATCACTTTCCTGCCAGAATGATTAAAAGAAGCCGCACTTTTGACTACGCAGATGAGCCTCAGTTGTTTTCTGGTGTCGAACGGTGAAATGTGCTCGTGTTCACAAAGGGTCCCCTATAAACGCTCTCACACAAGGAATCGTGGGTAGACGTCTGAGGTTCATTCGCTAAATGTTAAAAGCCCCTTTATGGCCTTTGTACGAGGCTGCTGCAGCAGATTCAGACCAGCTACACTAAGAGAGACTGTTGGCATAGATCCCCTTTACAGTAAATATCTATGTAATATGCAGGAGTTTTCCTGTTGTCAGGGCAAAGACCCTACACGTGATATGTGTCATGGCATGGAGCACTCCTTCACTTAGACTAGAGGGGCTGAGAGTCGGCGGTTTCTCCCAAACCGCCTTAAAATATCTCCCGCGTTCCCTTATCTGTAGCTTTACTTTCAAACCAGGGATCAAACCGTGAGCCTCAGTGCTGATCTCACAGCAGATTTATGTGGAAATACAAATGATGAGATCTGTACTGAGGGGCAAGTTGAGGCCAGATCCCTTGAGGGGTATACGCAGGCTGACACTGGGGAGGGTGTGGGAGGCTGGCTGGCGCCCCCTAGCTGGAATGGAGGACTGTGTGCAAAGAAGAGAGAGAGAGAGGGGAGGGGGGGGAGGAAGAGGACAGTTCTCCCTCATCCTCCTCGTCAAACACTAGCGATATCGCATGATCACTGGAACTGAAAGAGAGAGAAGGAATATTTAACGACAAGTTCTGCACATTATGTCCATTTGAGTGTGTTGGGTCTAATACTCACTGATGATAATGAGCAGGAGGGCAACAACTACCGAGGCGATAATTATCTTCATCTGTGGAAGAAACAACACATTCCTCACAACACTGGAAACCTCTGAGTGCAAGCGAGTAAAGAGACACAATGAAGGTGTGTCTCACACACACACACACACACACACACACACACACACACACACACACACGTATATAAAACAGACAGACAGCCCACCTTCATGTCTCTCCACCACATCCTCCTGTGCAGCTGTTTGGCTCGGCTACTGAAGGCCGACGCGTTGTCCGATAGGCTCTCTGGGACACGACCGGACCGCAGCACGGACGAGGAAAAATAAATTAGAGAAGAGGGGAGAAAAAAAAGAAATCTGTTAATCACCACATAAACAAAAACCTGGCTATTGTTCGGCCTTTGATGTTGGATGAGGTGACTCAGAACTGCCTGGCTCCGATGTTGTGCATGTGCAGTTAAAAGGTGTTATGCAACACCGTAGCTCTGCTGGTGAGATCACTCCCATGAACAGTTTGGCATTTAACGGTGAACAACAACCCGCCGAGTTTAAACACATTTCCTCCCGTCTGTCCGCGTCGTGATGTCCCTCTCCAAAACGCTCGCCCACGCTGCCGCTCTGGTTCTTGGATACCGTCGTCTACTGGCTTGTTTACGCGAGTTAACAGGAAGGTCTCAGCTCCCTGAGCGTTCGGCGCTGCTCTCGTCCGAGCCCCTGGTCCCTCTGTGGAGCGTTTGTCTCCGTCATGTGTCGGCCGTTCCCACGGCCATGTGCCTGTTAACGACTGGTCGACCGCTACAAAGAGAAGCGCTCAGACGGGAGGCTTCTGAGAAGATGCTTGTTAATCTTCAGGAGTTTTAACAACAGGTTCGCCTGCACATGGATCGGAGAGCAAACTGCTCGTGTCCATCACATAAAGGTCAACACACACACCGCAGAGACACGCAATCAGCCACACGCGGACCAACAAATACAGCGAAACTCGCGTATACACAAAGGCTCACGCAAACAGATGTGTTCCAGATGTGCGTCATTGTCTTGGTTGGCTGGTCGACCTGACAGAGAGAAGCAGTTATATAACATCTGTGTGGAGCTCATGATGAGACACTTCAGCCTCATCTTTTCATCTTATGAAGAAGAAGAAGAAGACGTGCGTGTCTTGTTGAAAAGCCTTGCATGCGTGTGAAGTTGATCGAGATTTCACACACACACACACACACAAAAGAGTGTGAGGGAGAGTGTGAGACCTGTTACAAGCTCAGACACACACCTGGTAAAACACTAAACCTGGACATATCATTAGCACCTTTAAAGTCTACTTTAAACTGTGTTTAAAAGGGGATGTTTTGTTGATTTTTTTTCAACTAAAATATGTGACATACATTACGTATCTCTGCAGGGTTTAATATAGAGCTGCAATGATTGGTCAATTAATCGATGAGTCTACTAATAAAAGAATAATCTGCCTCTATTGTTGAAAGTGTGCCATGACCCTGACGAGCTCTGGGAGGAGCCACAGGTGAGCTCAATCTGCCCTCAATCAGCGCTCTCATGACTAGGAGGAGAATCTTTACTCTGTTTGCTCGGAGTAAAGATTAACTGACCAGACCTGTGCTCCCTCGTGTGTGTAACGTGAGTTATTCCTCAAGCTTCATCAGTTTCCTAATGTCATGTTTGTTTCCTTCGTATTATGACTAATTCCATTGTTTAAAGGTGCGATATGTGGGATTCAGAGCATTAATAAAGCAGCAAACAACTTTGGTTTATGTAAAGATGTCGTTGAGGATGAAGTCACTCTCACTCTGTGTGTGTGTGTGTGTGTGTGTGTGTGTGTGTGTGTGTGTGTGTGTTGTTATCAGAGCTTCTCTGTTCTTTGTTGACATAACTGGGCCATCAGTGCATGTGTTTAGTGCATGTTGGTACATAGTGCCGCATTTTTGGACATAGCCTCCAAATATTATGAAGCATATTGTCTATTGTTGATTGAATTTTGTATTTGCAGAACATTTCGTATGCAGATCTGAGATCTCACTAGAAGCTGAGGGCATTACCCAAACCTTCATTGCATGACTTTAAATACATTAAAGATCATTGGGCCTCATCACGCCTACATACAGTGAGGATCAATCCTCAGAGCCATGTGCAAACAATCTGTGAGCTCCCTGTGGAAACTACCCGTTAAAATAAAGGACGTTCCCTGTAGAGTTTGTGTCAGCATGTGGACGAGCACAAACGAACCCGCTGTGACTCACCCGACTTGTCCTGCAGGTCGTCGAGTCGCTCGCCCCTCTCTATCACCTTGGAGATGTTCTCCTGCATCACATCGATCACCTCGTCAACCTGCGACTGCACCCTGAGGACACAAGTTGGTGCGAGACATAAAGGATATAAATCAATCGTGAATGATAAAAGGTAAGATTTGTTAAGGACTGATCTTCTCTTTTGGGGTAACCCACCACAGCACAAAGCACCTATCTTCCCAACAATTTCATCTTCTCTCTCTCTATCCAGCCTGGTCCAGCTGGCAGGCAATACAAAGCCTGTCAGATGGTTTTCATCCTCTCAATGATCTGCCTGCACCTGTTTAGGATCTGCAGAATAATGCTCAGATCCTTGCTTTATTCCCGGTACTCGTACCTGAGCATGGCATGACAAGTGCAGATTACCCTTCAGTCACTCTTATTGCCAAGTCATTCTTAGCATTATCTCTTTGAAGGATGCAGCGTAGGTTGGAGGGAGGGCAGAGAAATCATACATAAATATAAGCAGAGAGGCTCATAAGGGAGATACAAGACGAAGGAATTAGTTTTTTCTAACACTGATTGTCTCAGACAAGGAGCTGCAGGAAATGATCAGTCTTGGACTTCAGCTTGATTGCACGTTGAAGACGGTAATATTAAACATGAAAAAACCATAACCACAACAAATCAGGAACAGGGGGACACGGAGAAGCATGGACACATAAACACATAAAGGCACATAAACACCCCGAGAGAGAGACAGACTGAGATGAGGAGCCTGGGTAATGTGCAAACATTCCTGGGGCCGTATACTCGTAAAGCTTCTCAGTAACCAAACTCTTCAGCACATAAACCTCGTCCATTGTGCCCATTTGGGTGATGCACATGTGCAACTCTCAAAAGAAGTGAGATGGCTCGCTCTTAAGCTACTTCCATCATCGGCTCCACAAAAAAAAAGAATGTTAAATTCTTTATTACCCGAAACGGGCAAGTGAGCTAGATTTACTAGCCCAACGTGGCCTTTTATTTGCCGTGGGTAATCCTTACCGTGGAGCTCTGATTTGTTTCAGGTGCTCACAGCAACGACTAACGGTCAGGTATGCACCGATTGGGAGAAACAACTCTGTCCCAACAATGACCTGGTGGAAACCGACCGCGGAGGTCTTGGGAACATTACACAACGACCTGCACACGGCAGCCGGCCTCTCTTACACAATCCGCTATAAAACCTGTAAACACGACGAGCCACGGTTGTGTAACACCGACACCTAAACTCAAGAGTGCCGGCAACACTATTCTGACCTCTGGCTTGTAGTTGTTTTGGAGGAATGTGTTCATACTTACTGCTTGAATTTGTCATTCTGAGGTCCAAATCTGGGTCCCGTGGGTCCTCGCCTGGAAAACAGGTATTAATGAAGCCAGAGTGACCAATTTTAATGTGAACTTTCAGCTGTAACGACTTATTTCGCTGTTTATTATGTGTCAAAATATGTTCGTATGAGTGCTCTCGTCTTCTAGATAAAGTGTACTAAAATATATTTGATTTATTTAGTGTACTCCGTGTCTTAATAGAATTTAAACAAACTCACAGGAAGAAGTCTTCCTCCTCATCAGAGTCGTCCTCCAGCAGGTTCCTCTGTACAAGAGGAAAAGGTCAGAGGTCAGATAAGGGAACGTTCTAGATACTGAATGACTGATTCTAATTAATTCAGATGTATTTCAGGAACACGCTGCCGTAAGAGCATCTCAGCCAAACGGAGTACTTTCCTGGCACTCCAGATGAATGCTGATCGATAGAATCTATTTCTGTCTATCCTCAGAGGGCAGATATAGCCGAAAGCATTTACACTACACTATTATAGTGCACTTACGTTGTGATGACGTACTAAAAAAATGAGACTGTTGCTGCTCTGCTTTCCAAACCTCAATAAAAACTCTGGTAAAACTCCGGCTACCGGGAAGAATGTTTTCGAAGGAAAGCGGGAGTCGTGCCTCCGTTCAGTGCGTTGGTCCATTAGTTCAGGAGCAGCATAAACGACATAGTTTAGAAGTAGTTTTGGTTCAATTATTCAATTTTTCAATCATGACCTCATGCCACTATGAAGAGCTAAGAGAGAAAAAACACAGATGCTCTATGTTGACAGCTGCAAGCCGATATTGTGCCAGTAAATATGTAATGCACTGTCATCTGCAAAACAGCCGAGGGAATGGTGAGGTTCACAGAGAAACAGGACGGAGGGAAGGTAAGAATCAGTGGAGGTGGGGGGGGGGGGGGGTGATCACTTTGATGAGAACCAGACATTTGGCTACAGGAGTTTCTTCACTTAACCTCCTTCTAAAGGTTGACTCTCTTTTCTGCATTCCCTCATTTTTCATTCACTTTTTCCACAAATACTAATCAAATCATCTTAAAGCAAAACCTGCATCTTCTATCAACATCTGCTTTTGACCATTTCTGCAGCCAACATGGATGCTTTGGTGGTTTCATATTTGAATGACTCCTTTTAGATTTTGCAGTTGTGTTCGCATGCCACGACACATGGTGGCAGTTAACATGTCGGTGATGGGTCACGTCACACAATCAAGCAATAAGTAGACACAGGTGTGTAGCCGCAGTGCGTTTGAACCGCAGGAGGTGAAGGGTTCTCCACGCAAAATGGCGTAATACAAACAATTTATGTGTCGTCATTAAGTAACACAAAACAATAAGCCCCTCCCTCCTCCTGTGTGTCTCACCCTCTCGCTGCGAACGGATCCCGTGACCTCGTCGTCATTGAGGTGTCGTTTAAACTTGGGGGGCATGTTGTCTTCAGGCTGCTCCTCCCGATTCGGCTCCCTCTGTGGGACAGGGGGGGGTTAGAAGATCATGACGTGGACAGTCAACAACAATGGTCCTGCTGCTCATGAGTGTTACATGTGACATGGCGGCCTGCTAGATGAGAGTACTCTAATATTGGTGGTCAGAAGTGAGTGATTTGACTTGCAGGTTTTAACCACAACTATCTTAGCATTGAGTGTATGAACAAAGACCCGAAATCTAAACTCGCTCAGCAACAATTGCATTAAGGACAATTATTGGTTGAGCAATCTGAGGAGAGCTGAATTCATTCATTTCCTCTGCAATCTAATATTTACCTAATATTTATTTTGGCGGGAGCAGACATCGAGTCTCACTAGCTATGAAAGGAAATGTCATCATTGCTCTGTGTGTCTTTGGGTGGAAAAAAAACTCAACCGTATCGGATGTGGAAAACATGCTGTTCTTCCAATTACACTCCCTTGAGTGTGTGTTTGGGTGCTACTTGTTCCAAACATCGTTTGGAACGGTGCAACAAAACAAAACGGCGCCTCAATAAAGTGCCTCTGTGACACTGAACTAAACAACATGTGATCCTCAGGCCCGTCTGTAACCAGGGGGAGGAAACGCATGCACACACACACACACACACCCCTATCTCAATACAACTTATACCATTGAATCCAGTTCAGTCTGACTGTGGCTTTCTCAGCAGCGTCCTTTTCTGGCACTGCGATATGGAAAAAAAGGCCGTTGGGTAGCCAGAAGAAGAGAGGAACTTTCCAGTAAACAGAGGTGAAGAGAAGCAGGGGGCGGCGCTCGCTCTGAAGCAGCGACAGCGAGAAGAAGAGACACAGAAAGAGAAGCCAACTCCATCATGTTAGGGTTTCAAAAGGAGGAGTTTTTAAAAGCTAGAATCCATTTTTAAAAAAGCAGAATTGGATTCATATTAAAGTTACAATTACAGACAGCATGATGTCAGGTTCGGACAAAAGAACTGAGGGAATTGCATCATGATGACTACAAGACTGTAGATCATTAATGATAACAATCAATATATGGATTGCAGTGTGTCATCCTCCTGGAGAAGAGAAGATGCTGCTTTCATTGAGAAAAGTACAGCTATTTTTAGTACTGCTGTAATGGTATTAACGTCCAAACAAGGACTCTTTAAAGGAGCCGGTGCTGAAAATATCAAATCTCAGGAGCTCAGCTGGTGTCAGGAATAGAAGCTACGGGTCCTGTGTTCCTCAGCTCAAGACAATATCCTCAATATGAGAATGATGGCGACCTTTTCAAGAGTTTTATGTTCTAAGCAATGTTTTTTACCTCCATCAAATGTTTCTTGTACGTTTCCCTGGGTCAATATGTGGAAATCACCAACAGTTTTATCAACTGGCGCCTCAAATTTGCGTGATAATAATAGTTAATATCAAGAGACACACATGTCCAAGGAACATAGGACCCTGGGATGATCCCAATTAGCTAACGTTAGCTAGCTAAATCACAGCTGTTAGCTGCTTTAGCTGTTTGTTAGCATACATTTAAATACGTCAGTGTGTCGCTGTCTACTACACTTTAACTATTACACTACTACACCAGCATATTTTAAGTGAAAGTGGACCGATATCAACGCCAACACAGCTAACCTAATTGCCAATGTAGCTCGCTCAGGTCACATTTAGCTACCTAGCTTCCCAGCTAAGCTAAACTAAGGATGCTATGGATGCTAACGTGGCTACCTTACGTTTCCCCACGAGATCCGATGCTCGATGCTGGTAGACAGAGACTCGGGTATTAATCCAGGTGTTTTCGGGTTTTTACAGTTTCGTCGCTTTCATTTTTAAACGCTGTCCGGACGAAGAGACAGGATTCTCATCATGGAAGCTTAGCGGTCCGCTTGTCTTTCCTTCGTCTGAATCAGCTGACCAGGAAATGAACACAAACATCTGGAGGAGGAGGAGAGGAGCCGCTGCAGATGTTTCTCAGCGTCAACCCTCATCTTTTTTTACTTTACTTGAGTATTTCGAGTTTATGCTACTCTTTACTTCTATTCTAATTCATGGAAAAAGGAATTATTTTGTATTTTTTTACACAACAAACAATTTGACATATTAAACGTCTGTAAATTATAATTCTTAGTTATTTATTTATATAACAATTAGAATATGAAAGATAAAAGAAAGTATTGCAAAAATCAAGAAACGTAGATCTATAGAATAGAAGAAAAACACAAGTATTATGAGATATATTTATATACCACTCAAAGAGCCATTGTTCTGTTTAAGTACTTTTACTTTTGAAACTTTTACCATTATATTGTCACTTTATATACTTAGTCTTTTAATATCATTATGCATTTACTACATTCCTGTTTACATTCAGTTTATTCATTTGCAATTACTCTCTAATTTATAATTTATTCATGCTATATTTTATTGCTTATTTTAAGTTGAACTATTTCATTTATTTCTTTATTTATACAGTTTTTAGCAAATTTATAGAAATTTCTGTAAATTTATCCATCTTTGCAAATTTGCAGCTGCAGTCCCTGGGCATTTTGTTGCTTGTATTCTCACTTTGTTTTTACTGTAATCTCTTTGTATACAACTGTGTATATATGTGTATATGTATGTGTGTATGTTTATATTTATATTTATATTTATTTATTTATTTATTTTATTTATATATATATATATTTATTTATTTATTTTATTTTATTTTATTTTTTTTAAGGTGTATGTAGTATGTCTGCCTCACCTGTAGATGGCAGCAGTGCGCATGCTCGAGCGTGCCTCTACTGATAATGTAGAAGGAGAATACAACTTTCACCGGAAGAGAGTTCCGACTTAGTTGGTAAGCTATCTGTCTATCACGCTTCATTTACAGATGTATTATTATGTTTCCCTGAATCATTGTTCTCTTTTTAAACAGAGATATAGTGTGTTTCTGTAACTACAGATAGTTAAAAACAGACTCCGTGTTTGTTGCTCTTCCTCCGGAGCTCATACCCGGGTCTTCTCGGAGAGATGCAGCGTGCTGGAGGCAGCGTCGCTGGGTCTCATCCTCTGTTCGGTGGAGCGCTGTCGGCAGTCCTCCCCCACAGCGCCAGAGACACCAGTGAGCTGAGGGAGATCCCGGACAACCAGGAGGTGTTCGCCCACGAGCACACCGACCAGAGCCTGATCGTGGAGCTGGTGGAGTACCAGCGTCAGGTGGAGGACCGAGACGCCGCCAGGTATCACTTTGAGGACATCGCGGGCAGCAACAAAGCTCTGGAGCCGGGTGCTTTTGAGGTCACAAGTGTTGTGCACATGTCCAAGTCTGAGCTGTCCCTCTCAGACTGCAGCTCCGCCTGGATGCTGACTGGGACGCAGTGTGTATCCAAATTCAAGGAAGAGGCCAGGAACACAGTGACCCTCCACCTGGGTCTGTTCCGCCTGCCACAGTTCTCCACGGACGTCCTGATCACCTTCAACGACCCGCAGAGGATCAGCCCCGACAGCAGCAGTGCTGCTTCGGCTGAGACGCACAGAGAGCCATGGACGGTGCAGGACTTCCAGCGCTTGTTGCAGACTCTGACTCTGCACAACCCGGGACTGTTTGGGTAGAGCAACTGCTTCTTTCTCTGCGTGGGGCCCTGATTTAGTCCCAGGCACATTTAAACTGATCCCTGTAAGAAGCAGGCCTCCAGCAGGCTTTGGATCTCAACCTGAAAGTTCCTTATTGTGGTGGTTCCCTGTCACTGACACATGTGTACTGTTCTGCCCTTGATGATGATGTTTTTCTGACATCTAAAAAATGAATTGATGACCAAACACTTCACGGTTTTGTCGTAATAAAAGTGTCGGATGAAAACTGTTTGACCATTTCATTATTTATGGATCACCTGACGAACATATTTTAGGTTAAATATGCTCTAAAAGTGGACTGTACTGTGAAGACTTGCAGCAACTCTCACAGATCACATGAGTGTTTTTTTTTGTAAGGCATTTCTGTTTTATGTTATCGTCTGAACCTGAGCGAAATATGAGGGTTTCAGACATAATGTCATCGACATGCACATTTTCCGCTCCCGTTTCCCTCCACGTTCCAGTTCTCCTACTCACTCAAGCATTTCCTTTTTCCTCACTCATGCCTCTCCTCCACCATCCCAAAGTGTGTTTTTACTCTTGGATACAAACATCATGAGAGAAGAGTCTTGAAAGTATCTGTAAAGCACAAACCCCTAAAGGAACGTTAAATATTCACCCACAGCCAGCCAGCTCGTGCTACTCCGCTCTAACCTCCCATATATATATATATTTTACAGTACGAAAGTAATAAAAACACACAAGTGATGGCCAATTCAAGTCAGAAGGTTAAAGGTGAGCTGCGTTTCCACTTATAAACTCCCTCAAGAACAGTTAATATTCATAGAGTCCTCAGTGTCCTCAGACGGACCTGAGTTTAGTCATAAACAGTGAGAATTGAGGAGGACAGTCCCAGCAGGAATATGTATTAGGTCAACTGTTTCCATCCTTTATTGCTCTCATGGTGGAATAATTCATTAGCCTGAACCGTGAAGAACTTTTTGGAACGGCTTCATTCAGTTGGATGAGTTTGGTGAAATTTATGGAATGGAAATTAACCCTCATTAACTTCTGCTTTGAAGACTTTTCCTTAGTTATGTGTGCTGTTGTTCGAGGAAACTTGAGTCTGCTGTTGCATAAAACTCATCACAGCGAGGTAGTTCAGGTAAATCTTGAATAACAAATACAAGTCTGCACCCCCCCCCTCCCAAAAAGCCACATCAATCCCTTCTCATCCTCGGGATTAGGGTCTCATAAAGTCAGGCATCCTTTCCTGTCGGTGATCCCGGATGGAGCACGTTCCTTCATCAACCACAACATCCACAGTAACATAACAGCAAAGCCTCCTCCTGTCTCCCTCGGATAAACATGCTGCTGTTGGTTCCTGTAAAGCCTGAAAAGATTCCTGTCTCTCAGACCCGAGGGGTTTTAGGAACAGGCACCTGACCTCAAGCTCACGTCAGGAGACGATTATTGAGGCTTTAAGGACTTGAAGTGTTTTCCAGGTCCTGAAAACAGCCCATTACAGCCTGGCTACTGGGCTACCGTAGCGTTTAGCAACATCATATTGTGTCTTTACTATACTGAGTAAATGTATCATATTAAAATATATATTTATGTTCATTTCGACAAGTTTTTATAGTCATGTGGTACCAGAGCTGTTCCAGCCATCACATGATAAAATAAAATACTATTTATATCGCACTTTTCTTAATGCTTCACAAAAGAAAAGAAACCAAAAAAAGGCATACACATTAGAATAAAGCCAAATCACATGAGCACAGAGGAAGTAAAGAAAATAAATGATAAATAAATAGAAATAAAAACTGTATAAATACAACTGTATATCAAAGATTTCCAAAGGTTTTCACGATCAGAAAAGTTTTAAGACGAGATTTAAAAGAAGCTATAGACTTGATGTGTCTTAGTTCAGTTGGTAGAGTTAAATATAGTGTGAGAGCTCTGCAACAGAAGCCTGATCAGCCTTTTTTGTTACAAAAGATGACCTGTGAGTAACCAACAGGGCTCCATGGTGTGTTAATCAAGAGGGCACATACCAGGTCAATAAGTCAGATGCATTTAGAGCAAGGCCTTAAAAGTGAGCAATACAAGAGCTGCAAGAATAGAGAGAAATTAAATTGGTTTGTTTCAACAATTCAAACGCCTTCTTAGCTGACAATTAAAGCCTTTAAAAGGATCTGAAATACATACTGTACAGGCAGTAGCTCCACTGAATGCTGCAGCGCTGACAGTTAACTGTTGACTTTCAGTCACAGAGGAAAAAAGGAGCAATGCCTCCATAGCCATGTCTTTGACCTATGACCTGATGTCTGGAACCTGTCTCAGCTGCCAGGTGAACTGAAGTCTCCCTGATGAAGACAGAATACTTCTCACAACTAATTGCTACTTTCTCAGGTCTCAGTCATTTCACGACCTACAGCACCTCTCTTCTCAAGAAGCATCACTTTTACTTGCAGAGTATCATTATCCATAAGCAGGTGGAAATGTTTTCTTATACACAATAAGAAAAGCTTCATGTGTCATTAAATCTGTGTTGAAAGTAGAGGAAGTATTTGATAAAACACACAAGTGGTACTGCCATTAACATTAGTAGTTTCTACTGTCTTCTGGTCTCATTCGGAATGTGTGCGTTTAGAGATTTTCAGTACATCTGGGAGACATCAGTCACAGGTGTATGCATAGTTCCTGCTAAGAGACTTCCAGCTCCAGGGTCATTTATTACCCACGCTCCCCTGCTATCACTGTTGTGTTTGTACTGAACAAGGTCGAGCCACAATGAACTCAAACATAACATCCATATACTTGCACAAACAGGACCAATAGAAAAATATCGTAGCATAATGATTCTTTTGAATTTTCTTTCTCCCCTTATTCATTTCTGTGTATTTACTCTTTTTTCCTTTCAACTTGCAGTCTTGATTGTTATCACTGCTGCTGTAAATGCCTCATTACTTTTATGCCCGAACTGACTTCACACAGCTGCTTCCTTCCAGTGATTATTCAGCCCTCATCTTCCTCCCCATGCACATCTACAGTACATCTGTCTATTCAGGATTCTATACATCGTTAACCTGTATCCTCCCGGACCTTCCTATCTGTATGTCAGTCATTTATCTGTGATGTTGCAAATAAATAAAAAGGAAATCTTCACCAGGAACACCAAACAAGGAGTTTGTTTAAAAATAGGTTTATTAAAAATAAGAAAAAGATATCATGCAGCACATTTTCAACCACAAATTATAGAAGTAGTCATTGTGATCACAAATCTGTCATCTGCCATACATTTCTGACCCAACCATAAAACATGTCTTCATAATCCTCTGCATTGTTAAATTCTAAGGTTTGATACATTTCGCTCCAGATTCGGAAGCTAAAATGACTCTTTAATCCTCCTGCTTCTTCTTCTTCTTGCCCTGAGGTGAGGTGTTGTTGGTTTGAGAGAAGTGCTCAGACATGGCAGCAAGCGCCCGGTAGCGGTGAGAGATGGTATTCTTCACCTCTTTGGGCAGTTCAGCATAGCTGCAGATCAGAAGGAAGTAGTTCAAGTCAGTATGGATGTGTCCTTATTCTCAGCACAGTAGTTATAAATAAGGGTGAAAGGGATTGTCGCAGTGATGTAATTCGTTGTATGAACTTATCTGCAATGCTCAATTCATTTCTAAACTGAAAGTTTGTTGATCTCTGGCTCTACCTTGTGGTATGAACAGGACATTTCATGCAGTCTTTTGCTTACGTTTGGTCATATCCATCTGGCTGGAAACAGGGATCCCATCCAAAGTCTCGAGGTCCCCTGGGTTCCACAATGTGTCCCTTAAAATAACAAGAGGAATGAGTGAATGGATTATCATAAAAAATAAATAAAAACACACGTGCAGGCAGACACTGAGGCAGTTTGAGAGAGACTCTGACCTCTGTTTTCCCTCTGAACAGCTGTACTGGTTCATCTTTCCCAGCAGAGAAAGCAAAAGTGCAGAGAGCCCACGCTGATTTATCTTCAAACCCAGCTAGGAGTTTGTACAAGCCTGCAACAGAACATTTCACTAAAATTAAAAAGGCTGTATTTGCTTTAAATGTCTCCGTTCAAACATCTCGGCTGTGTTTTACAACATTACCTTCTGGCTTGAGTTTATCCAGGAACCATTTTCTACAAAAACAAAGTTAAGTTGTATGTATGAATATTCATTCCCACTGTTAAAGATACAACTGCTCGGCTGACGTGGACGTTATTATACTAACATGTAAGGACCAGGCAGGCCTCCCAGAGCCTTGAAACACAGACAGGTGTCCTCCACGATGACTGGCCCATCAATCTGAGGGTGAAAAACAAACAATACATCAGTTTCAGTCGTGCACACACAGAACATTCACTTGTACAATAGTGTAGTTATTGTACCTCCCTTGCAGCCTCCTTACACTTCTGTATGGAAATCTCATCTGGCTCCCCTTGGTATTCAGGCACTGGATGAAGAAATATTTGGGTGAGCGATGATGACAGGCATTGAATCTACTGGTGGTCTCTGTTTTGATACTTACAGTCAATCTTTTTTGACACTAGTTTATAGGGAAACCTGTCTCCCAGGATCTGAATGACCTGATGGAAGTGATTTAAAAAATGAGATTTAATCTAGCAGGACAAATGAAACGAGGGATTTCGTCTGTATTAATTTACAGTTCATGCTCACTGTCTATATTTAGCTAGCATAGTCTGGAACAGCACAAATACATAATTATTCAAGTATATCCGGCCTGAAACGGTTAAAACAGGACAGCACAACCGTTAACGTACCCTCTGTCTCAGATATAAAATGTTTCATTCTCACCTCTTCGAGTTTCTTCGCGTTTCCGGTCACGAAGACCACAGACCTCCCAGCAGGCACCGCCATGTTGAATGACACCCTGCGGACTAACAACATCGGACCAACTACTTCCGGCTCAGCAACGGCCAATAAAATCAGCTCCGAGAGCCTCAGCGAATCACCGGGCAGGGATTAGCCCCGCCCTTTGGGAAAATCCACCAATCAGCGACAAGTGCTGCCAGCTATGTTGTCCGACCCGAAAAGTGACTGCCATGTGGACAAGTGGCTGTCAACAGACTGTGACGGTGAACTGAAGCGGTTTTGGAGAACTGTAAACCACCCTGCAGCCGAAAATGAGTCTTTTACCTCGCACAGCCGAGGAGTTCAGCTCCGCGGAATACTGGGAGAGGTTTTTTAAGAAGCGCGGGGAGAAGGCCTTTGAATGGTACGGAGACTACAACAAACTGTGCGGCGTGCTGCACAAATACATCAAGGTCCAAGATAAGGTGAGATAACTATAGCGACACACAAAATACCCACTGTGATTCAGTAGCTATAAAGAGATCAGTCACTACTATACATGTCAATACAGCAAAAACTATTTGTGTTGACAAGTTAACTAAAACTACTTGTCATCCACTTGCTAGTTTATTTGTGTCCTACTGACACAAATACAGTAGAAAGTTGACATGTCTGCTTAACTTTCATCAAAGTAATGTGCTAATTAATTGTGTTGAATAATAATAATAATGTCTTATATAGACAGTTATACATACCTAGTTATATAATTTAGCATAAAATGGAAAACCTTTAAATGAAGCACAAGTCCTCTCAAAACTTAAGTAATTGTGGTTACTTACTTTCCACCCCTGCAAATGACAATAACTGATGAATTAACAGTGTTTTGTATTTGCGTCCTTCAGGTGTTGGTGGTCGGCTGCGGCAACTCTGAGCTGAGTGAACAGATGTACGATGTTGGCTACAAACATCTCACTAATATTGACATCAGCGAGACGGTGGTGACCCATATGAACCAGAGAAACGCCGAGCGCCGACCGGGCCTGACCTTCCAGCAGGTGGACGCCACTCAAACGCCCTATGAGGAGGCCAGCTACCAGGCTGCTCTGGACAAGGGCACGCTGGATGCCATGGCATCAGAAGAAGAGGGAGCACTGGCCAGGGGCATGCTCACCGAGGTGAGAGACTAGTGGGTCAGGGTCTTTGTAGACTCCTCAACGTGCCTCTTTGCACTCCCGTCACATTAGTGTTCTTGTTTCTGCAGGTGGGCCGCGTGCTAAGCGTCGGCGGGCGGTATGTCTGCGTGACACTGGCTCAGGAGAGCGTAATCAAGTTGGCCGTGGAGCACTTTGTCCAGCTGGGGTGGGCCGTGAGGCTCCACTGCCTGCAGGAGGAAAGCGGGAAAGAAGAGGACTCCTTCGCTCTGCCCGTCTTTGTCCTGGTCTGCACCAAGTTTCGCCAGCCGATGCCCACGCCCATTCTGGAGATGTGTCTCGGGGAAGATGGAGCCCCGACGCGTCTCGCACGGGTAGCAGAGTTGCTGTCGGCCGTGCGGGAGCATCAGGCTTACTCTGTGTTGAAAAAGAGGCTCCGCACGAGCACAGACGCCAGCTCCAACCTCTCTCTCACCCTCTGCCACGCCAAGACTGGCCTCCCCAGATACACTCTCACAGTGCAGGATTGTCCCCCAGGGGCCAAGGTGCCCAGATCAAACCAGTTTGCCATTTTTATCGGTGAGCTCTCCTGTTCTCGCCTCATGTTTATTCCCTCTTTTGTAAATCACACTGGTTGTATTTAGTTCTTCCCCTGTGCTCATCCTGTCAGTGCCTCAAGGCAGTGAGACGGCCTGGCTGTACAGCTCCGGTGAGGGGCGACGGCAGCTGGCGGCCAGCGCTAACTTTCGGCGCCTGGTTATTGCGGCAATGCACCGGAACCAGGAGTACACAGACATGCAGGCTGTCCAGTCAGAGCTCTCTCCGATGGTGATGGACCTGGCTCCACCGGGCATGCCAGCCAACCAGCAGGTAAACACACACAGGCAATCCTTTTGGGTTAAAATGTGCTTGAGCGTGTTCATTTGAGCTGCTCCGTCCCTTATTCAGGTGCCGTTTCTGTCAGTTGGAGGGAACCTGGGTTGGCGGGAGGAGGTCAGCAGGGGTGTGAGCGAGCTGAGCGGGGAGTACTGTGTGGAGAACGTCAAAGGAGAAGACGGGGAGCTGTATAGGAGGCTCGTTTTCCTCTCTAATGCTGCCCTCGTCCAATCAGAGAGCCGCCTCGTCTCCTCAAATACCAGTCAGTTCTTTTTCCTTGTTCACTGTGATTTGTTATGCTCTCTTTTTCTTTATGATAAACAATATAATAAACAATTCAGCAATACCAACAACGCATATACTGTACATGTTTAGTTGTGGCTAAAGGAGATAGGGAACGTATCACCCCTGGAGAAAATCAGGTACATTTCGTCAAGAAAGTTTGGCAACCTTTGATTAATTTAATGAATTAAAGTTAACTGTAAACTATCGTTCAGCCTCTGCCAGGACATCTACAATATCCTTTTGTATAACCACCAACTGTTTGTGTTTTATGTACAGTGGGTACAGAAAGTATTCAGACCTTTAAATTTTTCACTCTGTTTCATTGCAGCCATTTGCTAAAATCAAAAAAGTTCATTTTATTTCTCATTAATGTACACTCAGCACCCCATCTTGATAGAAAAAAACATGTAGAAATTTTTGCAAATTTATTAAAAAAGAAAAACTGAAATATCACATGGTCATAAGTATTCAGACCCTTTGCTCAGTATTGAGTAGAAGCACCCTTTTGAGCTAGTACAGCCATGAGTCTTCTTGGGAATGATGCAACAAGTTTTTCACACCTGGATTTGGGGATCCTCTGCCATTCTTCCTTGCAGATCCTCCAGTTCCGTCAGGTTGGATGGTGAACGTTGGTGGACAGCCATTTTCAGGTCTCTCCAGAGATGCTCAATTGGGTTTAGGTCAGGTCTGGCTGGGCAAGTCAAGAATGGTCACAGAGTTGTTCCGAAGCCACTCCTTTGTTATTTTAGCTGTGTGCTTAGGGTCATTGTCTTGTTGGAAGGTGAACCTTCGGCCCAGTCTGAGGTCCAGAGCACTCTGGAAGAGGTTTTCTTCCAGGATATCTCTGTACTTGGCCGCATTCATCTTTCCTTCAATTGCAACCAGTCGTCCTGTCCCTGCAGCTAAAAACACCCCCCATAGCATGATGCTGCCACCACCATGTTTCACTGTTGGGATTGTATTGGGCAGGTGATGAGCAGTGCCTGGTTTTCTCCACACATACCGCTTAGAATTAACGCCAAAAAGTTCAATTTTGGTCTCATCAGACCAGAGAATCTTATTTCTCATAGTTTGGGAGTCCTTCATGTGTTTTTTGGCAAACTCTATGCGGGCTTTCATATGTCTTGCACTGAGGAGAGGCCTCCGTCGGGCCACTCTGCCATGAAGCCCCGACTGGTGGAGGGCTGCAGTGATAGTTGACTTTGTGGAACTTTCTCCCATCTCCCTACTGCATCTCTGGAGCTCAGCCACAGTGATCTTTGGGTTCTTCTTTACCTCTCTCACCAAGGCTCTTCTTCCACGATTGCTCAGTTTGGCTGGACGGCCAGGTCTAGGAAGAGTTCTGGTCGTCCCAAACTTCTTCCATTTAAGGATTATGGAGGCCACTGTGCTCTTAGGAACCTTGAGTGCTGCAGAAATTCTTTTGTAACCTTGGCCAGATCTGTGCCTTGCCACAATTCTGTCTCTGAGCTCCTTGGGCAGTTCCTTCGACCTCATGATTCTCATTTGCTCTGACATGCACTGTGAGCTGTAAGGTCTTATATAGACAGGTGTGTGCCTTTCCTAATCAAGTCCAATCAGTTTAATTAAACACAGCTGGACTCCAATGAAGGAGTAGAACCATCTCAAGGAGGATCAGAAGAAATGGACAGCATGCGAGTTAAATATGAGTGTCACAGCAAAGGGTCTGAATACTTATGACCATGTGATATTTCAGTTTCTCTTTTTCAATAAATTTGCAACAATTTCTACATTTCTGTTTTTTTCTGTCAAGATGCTGAGTGTACATTAATGAGAAATAAAATGAACTTTTTTGATTTTAGCAAATGGCTGCAATGAAACAAGAGTGAAAAATTTAAAGGGGTCTGAATACTTTCCGTACCCACTGTATGTATTATTTTATTCTGAAAACAATAAAAAAGATAAAAACAAGACACTAAGAAGCCAACAAACAACAAATATTAACAAAATTTGAATAAAACAATAATAGCAGAAACAAACAAACAATAAAAAGGAAAAATACACAATATATAATATTATAATATCTTAATAGCCTGCCTGAGGATCTGAGAGCGGCTGGAAGAGTTGAAATCTTTAAACGTAAAAACTGCCTATTTTATAATTTTATTTTATTATTTATATTCTCCTTTTTACATTATTTGATTCACTTATTTTGTTGTATTTATGTTGTATATTTGTATTTATGTTATTAATCTACTTCTTATTTCAAGATGTTCTATTATAAAAGCTTTTACTTCTGTTTTATTACATTTTTATCATTTTATTGTCTCACATGCATTGGTTTCAAATTCTCAAATTGCTTTTGTCTTTTCTGTTGTTTTCACGGCCCACACTCGTTCTCCAGTAACGGCTTCTCGGTCATCCGTGAAGCACTTTGAACTGCATTCACCTGTATGAAAGATGTTGTACAATTAAAGTTCGATTAATCGATGAAAACGTAGATGTAGACTGATGAAAGGAATTCATATTTATGTTTTCTGCAGCATCAAGTCACAAGAAGAAAAACAAAAAGAAGATCAAGCCAACGGCTGCTCCAACAACATCCTCCACCTCCCTGTCAGTGGACAGCGGCTTCCTCTGCTGCGCTCACCATGAAGTCATGGTGGCCGGCCTCACAGTGCTTGGGGTGGGCACGCCAGAGAACAAAGGTCAGTTCAAACCTGTTTTCTACAGTCTTGTTGAGTTCGTAGAAGATGGCAGGAGGAAATGCTGACATACGCAGCATCTTGATTTCACTTTCATCCCCTCCATCTCTTCCCTCTCAGACGTCCCAGTGTCAGTGCTCCTGGTGGGGCTCGGTGGAGGAGGCCTGCCTCAGTTCCTACGGGACTTTGTGCCCGACGTTACCGTCGAGGTGGTAGAACTCGACCCTGTTGTGATGCAGGTGGCAAAGGAATGGTTCGGGTTCAGACCAGATGAGCGTTTGACCGTCACTCTCGGAGACGGCCTCGAACGCATCTGTGCCCTGGAGAAAGAAGGTGAGTGAAGGAGGAGAGGGCAGGTTAAAGTAAGGTTGCATTGATGAATAAGTTAACCAGGAAGTGGTGGGTTATGTCTTTTCTCTGTAGGCGGTCGTTTGTTTGACGTCATCATGTTCGATGTCGACAATAAAGACAGTACTGTGGGTATGAGCTGTCCACCTGTTTCCTTTGTAGAACCTTTGATCCTGCAGAAAGTCTGCAGATTGCTAACCCCAAGAGGTACGGTATTTAAAAAAAACCTTCTCTCTTATTTTCTTTCCTTTTCTTTCATGTATTCTCTGCATTTGTTTTGGTAATAAGGCCTTTATAAAATGAAAAGATTGCACCCTTATTCAAATCATGTTAGAAGGCAACAGAAACCTTCTCAATATTGGATCATCAAAGTCTGTTTTTATTTCTAATGTGTTCAAAATGATTGTGTAAAATCTGATTTATCAAGACTATTCTTTTCTCAAGTCTTTTAATTGTCCCTTTTCTGTGAGGGAATAGAAAGTTATTCTTCCTTATTTGGCTTGAACCCAGAAGCCCTCCTTAAGAAACAATAGAAAAACAATGCCCTCTTGTAAAATAAGTATATAATTAATAACAAAAATACCTCCGTCTCCTCCTGCCATTGGACCAGGTGTATTCATACTGAACCTCGTGTGTCGTGACTCGGTCTTGAGGAAAAGCGTGCGGGAGCGCGTGAGCGCCGCGTTTCCCACCATCCTCTCTCGAAAGGTGGAAGGGGAGGTCAACGAGGTCCTGCTGTGCTCTCGTGGAGCCGCTCGCATCCTCCCATCCCTCAACCAGGCAGCCAAGAGTCTGCAGAGCGCGCTGAGCTCCAACAGGACCGGAAACAGCAGCAGCCGCCCACATATAGACATCGCAGAGTTGTTAAAGGACCTGAAAGTGGAGTGAAGTTTGTTTGTGCGACCGGAGGGGATGGGATTTAAAGATGTGTCAAGACGGTTTGAGAGACTGAACTATGAGAGAGTGTGTGCTTTGACATTCAGTACAATGTAATGAAAAGTATTCTGATACAGTGTCATATACAACCACAATTAAATGACATTTTATCATAATGTGGTGCTTCTACAAAAAAGAAAATCCCCAGTGTTGTTAGATATTTGAACTTGCATTATCTCACCATTAAAAGTACGCTTCACTTTCTCTTTCCCTTGCTTCCTCGCGCCCTCCCCATTGCCAGAGAATGCAGCAGTGTTATTTACAGTAGATGAATATTTCCTCTCTGCTTCCAGTTGCAGTGTTGCAGCCCCACCCACACGCTGGATGCGTGGGATTTTAAATAACTTGTCGGCTAGAAGGAGTGAACGCTTCGCCATGGTGTCACGATGAAATCGGTGCACTTTCATAATTGGCTATGAAGTTTGTCCCTCTTCTGCATAAGGGGCTTGTCGAGTTAAAACTTGCTGATTACCGCGCATGCGCCAAAAAACTCGATTCCGTTAGCTGTCAAGAAGAGTAGAAGGTTTTCGCCTCTTTTCCTTGTACCGAAACTCAACGGATATCTTCTCAAATGTACCAAACGTTTAACGGAAACGACACACTACGGACGTTCGGAGGTTTAAAAAGATAAAAATGTCTATAGCGAGCTGTTTTCGGAGGCTTGAAGAGGTCTGTGAGTACAAACTTGGACGCTACTGTCATTACAAGACGCACCAACGGTTACCCACCGCGAGCTCCTAACGTTACGGAGCTTTTTAAAAAAATAAGTTGGCAAACGTTCCTCGAGAAGAGTGTTGAAATAGTGTATGTACATAACAGTATTGAAAATAGCCTAATGTGAGTCACTAATAACTATGGCAGATACTGGCGTAGTCTAGAGCCGGAGTGAAACAGTTTTTAAACGGTAGCAGGGTAATGATGGGCAACCGCGGGATGGAGGATTTGATCCCGCTGGTTAACCGACTTCGAGATGCCCTGAGCGGCGTGCAGCAGAGCTGCAGCCTCCACCTGCCGCAGATAGCCGTGGTGGGCGGCCAGAGTGCAGGCAAGAGCTCGGTCCTGGAGAACTTCGTGGGCAGGTATGTGTGACACAACCGAAACACAACTGTGGCTATCAACTTACACAACCTAGGGGAACACCCCCTAAATACAAACAAACAAAACAATTCCAATGTGTTATTTCCATGGCCTAGAAAAGTTAAATCAACATGTAAGAGCATCTCTCTCAAAGCCAGAAACCAAAGAAGTAAGTCTCAAACTTGTGATGTGAACTTGTCTGGAGCTGCTCCCACAGACAATGAATGGGAAGCTAATTTTAATCACCCAAATCACGTTTGTTTACTTTTTTTAATACCCAAGTTGTTGCTAGCAGCAGAAAGTCAATGAAAGGGTCTGTTGTAGTGTTATCAGTTATGAAACTGAAACATCTGGGTGCTCTCTGTGTCATCTACAACACTGAAATAACACCAATTCATTGTCGATGGAGCAGACTTTTTATTTGGTGGCATCAGAGACTCTAGTTTTTAGATTTGAGCTAATATGTTTGTACCGTCTTATACCACATGAATAACATGTATGGATTTTTAAAATGGGTGTAGTTCCCCTTTATCTGTGTTACTCTACTAGGCTACTTTTCACAAAGTCACCCTAAAAACAGAATATAAGTTTAAAATGACAAAGTTATGCAATATTTACCCTTTACAAAGCATGCAGAAACAATGAAAGAAGAGAGAATTAATATAAGTTTAAACATCATTCAGGACACTCTTATACTACATTGTCAAGTACTATTAAGACATGCAACACAGAGGCTCATAAAACAACACAGACAGAGCAAATAAATGAGGGGTGATTATGCTAAATAGAAACATTACCTTTACTAAAGGTCATTACCTTTACTAAAGGTCATTAGGTACCCGTTAGACTAGTATTGAGACCCTTTACCAAGGTGGTTGCTTGATCCTAATCCGAAATTCATTGAGTCTCAAGGTTTGTTAGTTGCATTAACGCAATGCGTGAGACTGGACGGTGAACTAGTAGGAGAATATGTATTGATGTAGGCTTTGATGATGTTGCCATTCTCTCCCTAGGCTGGTCTTGAATGTGTTAACTGAGGAGGCGGTGACTGTTTCTTGACTCAGGCTGTTCCATATTGGTGGTGTTCTGCTTGCAAAGAAAGGTGTCCGTGGACCAGGCTGGTGCTGTACCTGTAGCTTCAGGTCGTGGACTAGAGACAAGATTATGTTGCATTGTTGGTCAATAAAAACATACATGTCAGAGGCACAAAACATAAAAGCATGGAGAGTATGTCAAATATATAAGTCAGTCTGACACAGCAGAACAACAATGAAAGACATGCAGGTAGATGAGGGTCGACTGGCAATTTCAAGACAGACAGACGGGTGACAGGAGACAGACTGAGGACAGCAGACAGACAGGAGACAGACTGAGGACAGCAGACAGACAGGAGACAGACTGAGGACAGCAGACAGACTGAGGACAGCAGACAGACTGAGGACAGACTGAGGACAGCAGACAGACAGGAGACAGACTGAGGACAGCAGACAGACAGTAAGGTACAGTTACGTTCTAGAAATGTTAACTGATTGAAAAGCAAGAAATCTGTTCACAGTTATAACTACATTATTACCTAATCCAAAGAATAAACTTCTGCCAACTTTATTTTTCACAGACTGGAAATTAGTTTGTCCAAATYATTCACTTAACATTGATGAAGCCATTAGTTCCCACGAATAAACCCTTCCTTTTGAACAACCCCCATAAACCACAAAGCATGATAAGTCACTTAAGTCATCCTGATTGACTGAATGTCTTGAAAGTGTAACCATGTTATACTATCAGTGAAAATGTGATGCTTGATCTCATTAAAACCTGAATTTGCTTGTAATGATAAAATGAACAGCCATGGGCAACTGTGATTAACAGCAATTGCTGTAACCAATAACAATGCAGCGCTGAAATCACTGTGTTCATACGTCACCGTCTCCACCCCGGTGCTTGAGCTGTTGAGTTGCTCGTCTGACGTCGTGGATGCCAGAGGTGGCGGTGTCTGTATGACAGGAGCCAGTGCAGCACCTTATCTCACTGACAGGCTGTGGAGGTGTCGATGAAGGAGGATGGGAGTTGGGGGGGGCTAACATGGCTCCTGAAAAAGTAATGGAATCGGCATTATTTTAATTAACCTAGAAGTCAAAGGCCTTTAAATGGTACAGACTAGTGGTGAATAACAGTGTTTTCTGGGTAAAGTTTAAAGGCAGGAGTCTGCAATTCTAATCCAATGCAAATATTTCAAATTAAGCGAGCGTCTCCTCCCAGCTGTCCATTCTGTGTATGTGTTGCCCTGGCTCTGTAAATAGAAAACATGCTAACGTTGTCAAGGAGCACTGACGTGAGGGGGTGTATTTAGCAGACCCCACCTTTTTTAAATTCAAGTGAGACAATTTGTTTTGTGAGGAGGAGACTTTAAGTATTTCCATCCTGTCAGTGAAGAATTCTGGTGAGTAATAGTGAGTTGTTTCCTAAAGGAGGCCTAAAGTATTGTCCACAGAAGTCAAATGTGTGGCCTTGCCAGAAGCTATAGAAGCCATTAATGCTCGCTTTCCTGAGCGTGTTATGATATTTTATCGCACGCCTCGGTTCTTTGTCTCCGCTATGATTATGCTATGACACCCATTTTGTGCAGGACGGTGCCAGCTGCTTCATGGGACAGGATGCAGGAAAACAAACTTCCTGAATCTGATTTTGAAAGGAAAGAGGAGGATATCTTCCTGTGCATTCTGTTTCTTTATTGTTACTACTACATGTAGCTTTTAGTCTTTATATATCTGGTATATATAGCATGTGGCAAAGATTGTTCTTCGCCTTCCTGATCAAGTTACTGATGTTTTGGATATTAAATAGCAACTAAAATACAACTAATGTACGGCTGACTGTTAGTACTCACAATGCCAGTTACACATCGTTTTAGTGTATTAGTCTTATCTGTGCATGTACAAGATGTAAAGTCATTTAACCGGTGTGTGTCAAGCTTCTGATTTAGACTGACAACAAATGCTGTGTGTGTGTGTGTGTGTGCACAGCCGTCCCCAATTCAGTCTTTCCTTCCCAACAGAGACTTCCTTCCCCGGGGTTCAGGAATTGTCACTCGCAGACCTTTAATCCTCCAGCTGCTCAGCGCTGACACAGGTAGGTAAGACGCACATCGTTTAGTCGCTCATGCAGGCTGTGCAGTGTCATTCTGAAGCTGCCACCAGATGGCAGTATGATATTTTACAATGGCTGAGCCTGACCTGTGGGACAGTGATGGACTTACCATCCTAATGTCAGAACTGTTTAATTATGAGGTGTTTTGGGAGAGAATAAGTGTCCGGATGTATATCATTCTTATTATGTACAAACAATCTCAAATGGCTTTTAGAAACTTGCAAGAAGAGTACAATTAAAACCAAATAAAGTGGAGTTAATTAAATAGCATTTATGTATCGTGCTGTATTAAACTGTGCCATTGTGACCTGACTCCCAAACACATTTTTTTAACTGGTGAGTGTTCCCCGGTCCGTTGTGTGTCTTTCCAGAGTACGGTGAGTTTTCCCACTGTAAAGGGAAGAAGTTCACAGACTTTGATGAGATCCGCATAGAGATTGAGGCAGAGACGCACAGACTCACAGGATCCAACAAAGGCATCTCTCCTGTCCCCATCAGCCTGAGAATTTACTCATCACACGGTAACACAATGTCTAATGTGTGTTGTTCACTGCGACATATCCATTCAAGTTCCATTCAGGAAGGCAATCCAGGCACTCCAAAATCTATAACCTATGAGGAAGGAAATATTAAATGGCTTTTATTATAGTGGCTAAATCATTAAAAGAGCCAACATGTTTCAACAACTGTGCGTCTTCGTCAATAAACAAGCAAAGCGGCTGTGGCCACACCTATATGCTATAAACAACCA